AGAATAGGTGAGATAGCTTCTTAGCTAGGAAGCTAGGGGCTAATGGTGAAGGTGTGGAATGGCCCTGACACAATTGCTTGGTGTGCCAGAGTCAAGAGAACGACAACAGTGTTTCCTTGAAAAAGAGACTAGCCAGGCAGAGGCGGTGCACACTGTAATCCCAGCACTAGGGAGGGAGGCAGAGTTTGAGGCCAGCTTGATCTACAAAGCGAGTTCCAGGGCAGCCAAGGCTGATTCATAGAGAAGTCCTGCCTTGAACCCACCCCCTCCCCCAAAAAAGGGAAAAAAAAGGAAATTAAATATACTTTGTCATCATATTGATCTACAGAATTATTGGGTCTTACTTTGCTCAGTCACTCCATCTAGTGGTAGAGAAGTTGAGTGGACTAGCCATCCAAGTTGATTAGATAAAACAGACGAAGGCTAAAGAAACTTGGTTTTGAGCAGGAAAGGTGGCTTAGTGGCTAAGAGCACTTGCTACTGGTATGAAAGACCTGAGTTCGTTCCCAGCATTCATGGTGGCTCCACAACCATTTCCCAGGGATCCAGTGTCCTTTTTTTTGGCCTGTGTGAGTACCAGACTTGCATGTAGTACTGCATATACATACATGTAGACAATAAATCAATTTTCAAAAAATAAATTAGGTTTTTGCATCAAGTTAAATTACGTAAATGATAAGTCATTGATTTCACTCTCAGTTGACCAAGAAGAGACAGATGAAATCTATTCAGTTTTCTTACTCTCTGTCATTCTACTGTATGTAGTTCATCATATCTCTTTAGCAATAATTTCCTAAGTCCACTGTGCTCCTTCAGATTCTTCCCACATTACTCAGTATGCTTGTAACAACAACAAAAGATATTTAAAACCTTTCAGTCTGCTATTTTAATTATTCATTTATGATCATTTTCCACCTGTGCTTACAACCTATCTGTGCTTATCATTACTCTTAGAATAAAATCTGAAACTTCTTAGGGTCTACTAGGACCTCTCTGTATTTTCTACCACTCTCAGCTGGGGTTAGTACCTTGACACATGCTTCATTGCCTTGGAGCAGTCTTCCATCCTACTCTGTCTCTCCAGGTATTCACTCTTCTTATTTAACAGCAATTCCATGGGGGCTTTTCCTCACTCCTTAACAGGAAATTACATTCCCATCTCTAGCATTTATTGTTGTATGACTTTATAACTTTTTCCTTTTCAGTGTGGACATTTTATAAGTATGGACATTGTGTCCAGTTCACTGTGCATGTCTATATTATTGAACATAGTACCCAATGTTCAGTTGGAAGTGGACTTTGTACTGTCTCTAGTATAATGTGGCTAAGAGATTAGATGTCTTAGTAAGAAAGTAGGTTAGAATGGAAAAGAAGAACTGGAAGCTGGCTGTGATGATTACACGATGCAAACCCCAGCAACCTGCGAAGCAAACAGGTTGGACAATCACCACAAACTGGATGCCAGTCTGGGTTACAGAGGTAGCTCCGGGCCACTGAGGGCTGTGTAGAGACATTGTCTTTAAAAACAAAAACAACAACAACAACAAAAATGAAATAAAGATAAAATTGTAGAGTAAGATGCTGAATTTTAAGACTGCCAGGGGAAATGCTTTCAGGACATTGCATTCGTGTGGCATGCTGAGTTTGTAGTTATGGTTGGCACCAATATTTATAAATGAACGTGGGTTCAAGCAAGTACTGATCCAGGGAAAGGGTTTATAAAATAAATGTCACTGACTGCCTCATGACAATGTCATGATGTTGGGCTGCAAGAGTATTTATGTAAAGAAATGATTTAATATTTTTCCATTGAAAAGTCCATCATTCTCAATTTTGCTGTTCTATAGAACAGAATAAGAACCATTATGCAAATAGTATTAGGGGAGGAGTCTGGTGATAGGCTTGGCTTTTGTTTAGAAGAAAACAATTCATAATAGTTGGAGCTGAAAGTAATGAGCTCCCTGTCAAAGTTTGTAATCATTTGGAAACTGGATGAGCTGCTAGAGATGTAATAGAAGAGTCCTTGCACTGGATTGAGTAATTGGTTATAAACCCTTTAGTAGTAAACTGGATGATTTTGATGCCTGAATCTGTCTGTACACACAATCAACAAAGATTGAGTGTACCTCCCTTTATTTGGAAAGTTGAAGGTTAGTGTTTTGTTTCCTTGTTTGAGTTTTTCCTTCCTGTGTGCTGAGACAGAGATAGACTGAGTCTTTGTCATTGTTTGATATCCCATTTGGAATCTGAGAAGTTTCAGCCAGGTGTTATGGTGATGTAACAAGAGCTGCTGTCCTTACCTGTTGGGCGAAGGACTATGTACCTGGAGAATCAAATATAAGAATGTGCTGCCAAGAAGTTTGCTTTAGTGCTTCACATTTTTGCTGAAGAGCCAGTCTTTCCAGATGTGAGTTATTTGTTTATTTTAGATGTTTTGAAATGAATGACCTACCTTCTGTTACCCTGTAAGATGCCAGATGCCACAGCACCCATGGTTTTCATTTGCTTCTGTCTCAGGAGCCTGAGCCTGGCTGAAAATTGTTTGTGTACCTGTGGCTTAGTCATATCTTCTCCTTTTTGCTGAATGCCATTTGTGTCTTTCCTGCATCCTCTCAGAAGGTTGTTAAAGTGGCTTACCTGGTTTGTTTTATTTATTTATTTATTATCTCTCTCTGTGTGTGTATTTATTTTCTATCATTTATCTATCATCTATCTATCTCTATTATCTGTCTGTCTATCTGTCATCTGTCTATTGAAACATAATCTCCTAGCTCTGGCTGTCCTGGAACTCACTATGTAGACCAAGCTGGCCTTGAACTCACAGAGATCTATTCTTCTCTGCTTCCTGAATGCTGGGATTAAAGGCCTGAACCACCATACTCATTAGTCTTATTTTATTTAAGAGCGAAGATTGAAGTTCATTTTGGAGCTAGGCTCTTGATTTTGGATTATGTATGTGTTGTTATTTAGGCAGTTCCCATGTTCTGTGACTAAAGTGGTGAACACAATGGGCCTTGGAGAGAATTCTCACTTGCGTTATGAGATGAAAAGCCTTTCATTCACCTGGGATTTCTGAACACATTTAATTGAATTTTCTTTTATTTTTGAGACAGGGTCTTTGTTTGTAGCCTTGAATTCTTAATCTCCCAGCCTCTGCCTCTTTGGTGCTGATATTACAGACAAGTACCACTTGCCTACCTTGAAGTTAAATTCTTAAGCACAAGCTGTAAGGGGACTGAATTGCTTTTTAGAAAGCTTGGTCAGGAATTCTTCCATGTAGTTCTGGGATAGTACAAGGTTAACAACCTCAGAGGAATATTGGCTTGGTGCTTAGGATATTGAAGTAGATAAAAATTAGACATTTGTTTATAATGAATGTATTCAGCAGATGCTTATTGCTGTCTACTATATTGCAAAGACCTTGCTAAATGTTGGGTTGGAATAGAATAAATCATATCCGGTACCCATTGATTTCTTGTATTATTAGAGCACTGTAAGAAGCAATAGTTTCTCTTTCACAACACAACACAACAAAACAAAACAAAAAAAAAAAAAAACAAAAATCAAAAGAACTACCAACAACAAAACAATGCAGTTATCAAGTTAGAGACTTAGAATTTTTATAACCAGCAAATATTTGCTATTTGCCTTACTATATTCAAGAAATGAAGAAACTTAGTATCAGGTCATACCACTAAACAAGTTGTATCCTGGGAGGAGAGGAGTGAAGAAAATGCCTAGGAGTCATTGTTAGGCATTAGGTTTTAGGAGGAATGTTTTGTCTGGGTCTCCTGTTGTTTTCAAGAATTCTGGTTTTGGCTTTCCCAAAAGGTGGGATCAGCAGGTACAGTGGGGCAGCTGGGTACCTGGGCACTTTATGAGTGAGCCCCCCTCTGCAGAACCGGTGAATTTGGTCAGAGGTTGTTATCCACCCTTCTTTTGCTTTCTCTACTGGGACTGTTAACCACAGAGGAATGTTGGCTTGGTGTCAGGCTGTCAGGTCAAGGACATAGTTCCTGCTAAAGTGAAGTCTGAAAGAAGCTATTTTTTTCCACAGGTAAACTTACCTGGCACTCATTTATCCTGGGAGGAGAAATGCACTTCTGATTCTGCCTGAGTCCCTGAAGTTAGTTTTGTTATGAGCCTTTGGGATCTCTAGCCAGGTGTGCAGAGCAGCCTATTATTTTATTTTGAGTGGTTTCAGGATTCACTTTACTCTTCTTGTTTTCTCAGAACATTAGTCCATCCTGAGATAGTCTGCTGTGTTTAGTAAGTATCTACTAAGAGCCAGTGTGCCATGTACTGTGTCAAGGGATTCATTCTGGTGATACATCAGTAAAGAAGACACACAACTTCTTACTTCTGAAAACTTGACATATGAAAATCAAAGATTAGACAGAGAATGATTAAAATAACTTCAGAGGAAAGCCAAGGCATGATGGCATATGCCTGTAATATCAGTATTCAAGAGACTGAGGCAGGAGGATTGCTACAAGTTTGAGGTTAGCTTGAGCTACATGATGAGGCATTGTTTCAAAAAAACAAAAAACAAACAAACAGCAAAACAGCCCTTAATAATAAATATGTTCAGGAAGGAAATGAACATGGCACAGGGTTAGGGAGCATTGCAGGTTGGGAAGCTTTATAGGGCCTCAGTCTGCTGCCTCCTTTAGACCGGAGAAGCAAACTTGGCCCTGGGGTGCCTACTATATGCAAGCCCTGGATTTAATCCCTAGCACACCCCTCCTTAAGTAGACAAATAAGTAGCAGAGGGAAAGCTTTGTTCAGAGTGGTTTGTAGTTATTGTAGGCATTAATACATTATTGTTAATGAGGATGTTAAATGTGATTCTTCATAAAAAATTTAAACTCACTTCCTTCAAAATTCAACTAGAATGAAGAAACCAGATTAGTTTACCATTTGGTTAAGAAACTGTTGAAATTAGGCTCTGAGGATGCTCTTCTATTTACTTGAGCCTTGGGCTCTTACCTTCTTTTCAGGGCAAAGCCTGGATTTTGATCTATGTTCTGCTCACATCCTGCTGCCTGAGAGTACTTGATGATCCCATGACCCTGGACATGGATGCTGTCCTGTCGGATTTTGTCCGTTCCACAGGTGCAGAGCCAGGGCTGGCCCGAGATCTTCTGGAAGGTAAGGAGATAATTCGAAAGAGAAAACAAAATGTCATATTTACTATTAGGGTGATTTGGAGTATTTAAGGTGATCAGAAAAATATTTTGTGTACCTGAGGACCTCCATTTAAGTTGCTTCTAATAATCTGCTTTGTGTGATCTGCTATACTTTTAAAATCCAAAATCCTCCCTTCACCTTGTATGTATTAGGTTTCTTCACCATGAGTTTATGTTCAGGTAATCAAAGAAGAAAGTTATATCGGCTCACTAAAACCATAATGGAAAACACTTGATCTTAACCTCTAACCTCTACACACTTGTATATGCACACCATACTTATATACCACATAGATGCTTTAACCTCTATAAGCACTTGTATGCATACAGCACACATGTATACTACACAGGTGCCCAACAACACACTCAAAATTAAGAAAAAATAAAAATGAAATAATCAGTGTCATGTCAGTGTCTGTGCAGTGTATCAAGTATATGCAAGGTACATGGGATGTGTTCTCTCAGCTGTATGTTATAACTTTGAAAACTGAGGTTCAGTGAAGTTACATAGGATTTTAATCTTGACTGGTTTTTAAACTGTGGCTCTTAATGATTATGTTACAAATTACTTCTTGCATGTTATAAACACTCATGGTATTAAAGAAAAGAAGCTGAGAGTCCTATGAGAGTGAAGATGGAAATCTGATTTAGCTCTAGAGTACAGGAACCTTTTTAGGAAGGCATACCCAGGAGAAATAGCTTACAAGATGACCCTAAGAGGAGAGAGATTGATGTAATGTATAAGCCAATAGTGAGTGAGACGGGAAGAGTGGTACAAGAGTGATGGGGAGCTGGTTAGGTGGACAGGAAGCAGAATATGGGGCCCTTTGTTGGCCATAGTAAGGAATTTACACTCTAAGTTCACTGGAAGTGAAGTTTTTAGTAGTATAAGAATAGTTTTTAAGTTTCAGTGTTTAATGTGTTCCAATAGGATTATATTGGAAGGTGGCCAGTGGTAAAAATAGGTAAGAATATTGCCATAGTGCCTGTGAAAGATAATGGTGACTTAGACCACAGTGTGGGTTTAGATATAAATTAGTAGCCTGAGAGATGGCTCAGTAGTTAAGAGCATTTGCTGTTCTTCCAGAGAACCAGGGCTCAGTTCCCAGCACTCACATGGTGGTCACAACTGCTTTGGAAAATGATGAGCAGGGTGATTCTAAACTGGGCAGTTGTTGCGAGTAAGGTTTTTCCTGCCACCTGGTCTCACCGCCACACCATCCCCAAATAACACACTGAGACTCTGTATTTGATATAATGCTGTTGGCCAGGTACTAGTTTCTTATCGGCTAGCTCAGTCGGTAAACATGAGACTCTTAATCTCAGGGTTGTGGGTTCGAGCCCCACATTGGGCACCATATGTAAGGAGTAAAGTTTTTCCTGCTGGCCTGGACCCACTGCTCCCATGCCCCAAATAACACACAGAGATGCTGTATGTGATATAATGCTGTTGGCCAGGTACTAGTTTCTTATCGGCTAGTTCTGTCTTAATTTTTAACCCATTTCTATTAATGTAAGTATTTCCATGTGGTCTCATCTTACCGGAGAGTAGGGCTGTTGTTCACTCTCTCCAGTCTCTCCATGTTGACTCCTCCCTACTACTTCCTCGAATCTTCCTTGTCTCCTAGTCCTGCCTATCTTGCTTTCCTATTGGCCAACAGTGCTTTATTCATTAACCAGTGTGAGAAACATATTTACAGAATGACATCTCCCATCAGGCAGTGGGGTAGGACTTACTAAGAAATTGATATTTACAAAGGTTCATCTATGTAGATGTACTAGAGGAAAGAGTCTTATGCAATACGAGTAGGCAGTGGAGAGGCCCTGGTGGGGAGAAGTCTTGGCGTTGTCTAACAGCAAAGAGACCAAAACACCAGTGGAGACTAGAACAGAGAGTGGAGAAAGGGTTGAACAGTGTTAGAATTAAATCAGCAAGCATGAGTAGTTGGAATAGCTTAACTGGAGGGTTAGAACAACAGCAGTAGTGGATAGATATACGTAGACTGCATGCAAAGCACTGTGCTTATGACTTATTTAACCTTCAGAACAGCACTGTGTGTCAGGCACAGCATTGTAAGACTTTTTCTGGGAAAATCTATTTCTACCCATTCCTGATAGAGGGAGCAGATCATAGAAGCCACCTCACCTGAGTCTAGCCTGCTGAACCAGAGCTTACTGAGGTTACTTTAGGAGTTTGGGTAGCATGTTAAGCATGTGGATAACTGGACAGCTATACCACCAAAAAGTCTGCCCTCTCAGCAATTGTTAGGTGCTTATATATCCTTGGGTAGAGGAGGGACCTTATGAACTTCATTAACCTCATTACCATCTCCCTACCAAGAAGGGACTTAAAAGAAAGGTTGGTCTTATTTTATATGTATGTGTGAGTGTCTGACATGTATGTATGTATACTATGTATATGTCTAGTATCCAAGAAAGCCAGAAGAGGGTGTCAGATGGTGATGATCACACCCAACCTGGAAGAAACGGATATACTAGTGCTATTATCTACATTTTCACAAATAAGTAAATTATAGCACAGAGAAAAAGCTAGAAAATAGGAGAGGCCATAGAAAGCCTTGAATAATGGGCAAAAAAGCCTTCTGTAGTAGTGATGGGCCATTACGTGAAGATTTTGAACATAGAAGTGAAATGATTATAACTGTGCTTTACAAAAATGAATCTCATGGGATTCCTTGAGTAGATGGAGGTGTTGGATCTCAGGTGATGAGTTAAACCAAGGCTGTAGTAGCTACAGTAATGCAGGTGCAGTTAGTCTACCTGTATTAAGCAATTTAACTAGAGAAAACTACCGTGGAGTCTTTCAAATAGAAAGTGTTTTTAAAGTGGGAGCAGTATCGCTCCTTTTGGTGCAGTGATATCTAGAAACTCTTCATCGGAGGCGTATACTTTGTACATATCTTCTGGTGGCTTATGACAGCCTAGAGTCTACCTCAGCTCCTGAGCCCTGGTACAAACTAACTGTGACTTTGAACAAGTTGTGGTACTTCTGTAAGCTTTGTCTCCTTTATCTGTAAAAGGAGTTTCATTTTAGGTGACTAAATCTCTGAAGGGCCCTTTGAGTTTGGAGACAAAAGTTTCTACCATTATGTAGCTCCCATAGGAAATAGACAATAAAGAAAATTGGTATTTCAGATTGATAAGAAAGTTAAAATAGAATTGGTAGTGTGCATCAGCATGTTCTTACTAGGTTTATTTATTTATTTTTTAGGTTTTTTTTTTTTTTTTGAGACAGGGTTTTTCTTTGTAGCTTTGGCTGTCCTGTCTATACCAGGCTGGTCTTGAACTCAGAGGACCACCTGCTTTTCTTCCTGAGTGCTAGGACTAAAGGCATGTGCCACCACTGCCCAGCACTGCTAGGTTTGTTTTTGATATGAGGTGTTTGAAACTGAGTCTGGGGTATCCCAGACTGTTCAAACTGATCCTCCTGACTCAGCCTCCTGAGTTCTAGCATTATAAACTTGTGCTGTCATAGCTTGTTTTGTTGCACTAGGATGGCTATAGTGGTCTTCCAATGTCTTTCTGCAGTTTCATAATACCCTGGGTATATAATGTTGTTTTGTTTTTTCTCCTGTTAGGAAAAAACTGGGATGTGAGTGCTGCCCTCAGTGACTTTGAACAGCTACGTCAAGTCCATGCTGGGAACCTGTCCCCACCCTTTAGTGGAGGGAGTAGTTGCTCTAAGACCCCTGAAAAAGGGTGTGCTGATAGAGAGTCCACTCGCCCTTCTCGACCAGTCCTCCAGAGACAGGATGACATCATTCAAGGTATTGTTTAACTGAGGACTAAGCTTTTGTGTGATTAGGAAGCGTCTGTGTGCTTCTTTAGGGATGTTTTCATTCCTTACTCTCTTCCAGCCAAACTAACAGTTCTTGCTTTATACCATGTCTGGCCAGTACCTGACAGCTGCCTAGCATTAGAGCTCCTGTCCCCTTGTGATAGTCGCCCATGTACTTCAAGCTGTGCAAACACATAATATTACACTGACAAATTTTGCTCATAATGTTGTATGGGCTGGGGCTTGCAGGTGCCATATACTGAAAACAAATGAAATGATTTGGGGACACAGTTTACATTAGTGTTTTGTTCTCTGGCATATTAAAATCTGATATAAATTTCTCCATAAATTTCTGATAAATATGAATACTAATAAAAGTTATAGTAAATAATATAGATGTTGTTGATGACACTGTTTTTTTTGTTTATGTTTGTTTTTTTGTTTTTTGAGACAGGGTTTCTCTGTGTAGCTTTGGAGTCTGTCCTGGAACTGTCTCTGTAGACTATGCTGGCCTTGAACTCACAGAGATCCACCTGCCTCTGCTTCCTGAATGCTGGGATTGGAGGCCTGTGCCACCACCTCTCTGCATGTCATTTTCTTTTCTGTAATGGAGATCCTTTCTACATCCTCTAAGACCCTAAGGATTACTGGAGTGATTATTTGACTAAATGCAGCCTAATAAAAGTCCGTTTCTCTTACTTGTACTTTCCACTAAAGAAATGACCCAGTTCCCTCATGCCCACCTCTCCCCTCCTCTTCCCCCCTTTCTCCTAACTCCCTCTCACCTCCTCCATGCTCCCAATTAGCTTAGAACAGGAAGATTGAGATAGGGAAAGAATAGAGGAGATCAAGAAAAGAGATACCATAACAGAAGGAGCCTTTATAGATTCAAGGAGGATCTGACACTAGGGAAATGTCCAGATATTTACAAGGATGAACCCAACTAACAATCAAAGCAATAGTGGAGAGGCTACCTTTAATGCCCTTCCCCGATGAGATTGACATCTACCTTATATGCCATCCTAGAGTCTTCATCTAGTAGCTGATGGAAGCAGAAACAGACACCCACAGCTAAACACTAGCTGAACTCCTGGAATCCAGTTACAGAGAGGGAGGAGTGATGAGCAAAGGGGTCAGGACCAGGCTGGAGAAACCCACAGAATCTGCTCACCTGAACAAGGGGGAGCTCATGGACCCCAGTCTGATAGGTGGGAAACCAGCATAGGACTGACCCAGACCCCCTGAATGTGGGTGTCAGTTAGGAGGCCTGGGCAGTCTATGGAGCCTCTGGTAAGGGATCAGTATTTATCCCTAGTATACTCATGGACTTTGGGAGCCCATTCCACATAGAGGGATACTCCCTCAGCCTAGACACATGGGGAGGGCCTAGGCCCTGTCCCAAATGATGTGACAAACTTTGAAGACTCCCCATGGAAGGCCTCACCCTCCCTGGGGAGCAGAAAGGGGAGAGGATGGGGTTTGGTGGAGGTGATAGGGGAGGATGGGAGAGTGAGGGAACTGGGATTGACATGTAGAACAACCTTGTTTCAAATTTTTAAAAAAAAGGAAAAAAAAAAAAGTGACCCAGTTGCTAACTGAATGGCGAATGGCTCATATTCATGTTGAAAAAAATGGCTGAAAAATGGGAGTCAAAGATAGTATCATAGGGAAAGGAAAGTCAGGGAAACCCCAGACAAGCTTAGAAAGATGAATACTGTTTTCGTACTACTGTGTCTACAAAAATGCCATTTTGTATATTTCCGCATTAGTGTTTGGCTAAGAAAAAATACTATGAAGTTCAGTAGCTGGTTAGGTATAGTTTTTCCTTGCCTGGAAACTGTCAGGCGGTAACCACCTCCATCTGTGGAGAGTTCTCAGAGCGGGTTGCGTATATTCTAAGGTGACTCCATTTCTCATTGCAGAAAAACGCCTGTCTAGGGGCATCTCCCACGCCAGTTCCAGCATTGTCTCCCTGGCCCGGTCCCATGTCTCCTCCAATGGTGGGGGTGGGGGGAGCAGTGAGCACCCCCTGGAAATGCCCATCTGTGCCTTCCAGCTTCCAGATCTAACTGTGTACAAAGAAGATTTCCGAAGCTTCATAGAGAGGGACCTCATTGAGCAGTCCATGCTGGTCGCCCTGGAACAGGCAGGTCAGTGGGTGTTTCCTCTTCAGTGATTTCCCCTTTAGACTCTGCCTGCAACCACATAAAGGGTCCAGCCTTCATCAGTAGCCTCTTTTAAAGTGTCTGATCTGGTTGCTGTCAAAGATTGGGGTCAGTCAGATACATGTGCTGACATGAATAGAAATTAACCAGGTGTGGCGGGGAGGAGCAGGAATAAACATTAGACACTTTGGAAAGTTCCTGTTTAATAGATGGGAAGCCAGATACATATGTACGTTTACTAATTGATACCCAAAAGCCAATATAGGAACAGTTATGACTGATTATAACTGGCAAACACAGAGGATGATGGCTGTAGATGATGCACTGAAAGTCACATCTAGTCATATGACTCTTTCCCCAGATTTATTTGTTGAGTTCATTTTAAATTAGCATTAAAATTAATTTGGAGGTCACAGAAAGGGACCCTTTTCATTTTGTACCCCTCTATATTAACTATAACTCTTTTTAGAAGTTAGCAAGTTATCTGGGCTAGTGAAATTATAAGCTCTTCTGCAGATTTTTAATTGCTGAAAAAAACAAAATTTTAAGTGTTATTTGTAAAATAGTTTCCTCCTGTAAATAATGGATTGGCAATTGTCTAGTTTACTTGGTTGTCTTATGTACTTTTTCTTTTTGTGTGTAACTTTAAAGTCACACCACACACCTGATGAGTGCTGTCAAATATGTAAACAATACAGGACACAAAACTTGCATAGTTTTTCTTTTGTTGGTGATTCAATTAAGCTGAGCATTGCTGCTATTGTATTTACCATTCTTCCTGCCAGAGTGAAGGATTCAGAGTCAAACAAAGTATCTATCAGTTTCAGCCTGGGCACTATTGACTTTTGATGCCAGATAATTTGTTGCCTTGAGCATTATCTTATATTCTAAATATAAGAATATGCTCTAAATAAATAAAGAATATGCTCTAAATAAAGATAATGTTCTCTCTGGTCTCTGTGTCTCCCACCAATTGTGACAAATATATCTTCATACATTGCCTAATAATCCCATGAGACAAAACTGTCCTTCATTAAGATCACTGATCTAAGCAGTCATGCTTGACAGATTCTAACTGTAAGTAAAGAAGATGTAAAGAATCAGAGATTAGGCTTAATGCTATATTCCTATAATCTCAGTACCAAGGTTATAGAAGGCAGATATATCAGGAGTTCAAGGCCAGCCTCAGCTACTTAGTGAGTTCAAAGGTCAGTGTCAGCTACATGAGACCATGTTTCAAAATAATCAATAACAACAATAATACAGAGCATGCAGTATCTCATTCACTAGGTTGAGGCAGAAGGATCATGAGTTCAAAGCCAACCTGGTACGTGTAGCAAAACCCTGTCTCAAGAAAAAAAGTAGTTTTATTCTAGGCTGTCTCCCTAATCCCCTTCTCCTTTCCTCCCACTGTCATGTCTGTAGGGCGTTTGAATTGGTGGGTCAGTGTGGACTCCCCCTGTCAGAGGCTGCTTCCTTTAGCAACTACTGGAGATGGAAACTGCCTGCTGCACGCAGCCTCTCTTGGTGAGTCTTGGAGAATGGCCCTCCCTCCCCATAGAAAGGAAGCAATGAATCGAGTATCACGTGTGAATGTTCATCTCACCACCCTTCTCAGGTGAAGGGATGGTTCAGGGAGCTGGCAGAGCCTTGCCTTGGCTTACTGTCTTTAGAAATGGGGGAGCCCAGGGTTAGTTTAGGCTCCACTCCACGCTGAGCCCTAGAGCATAATAAGCAAAGTTTGTGTGGCTATGTACATGAATGGTGGCAAAACTATACTTAATTATTCTTCTGGTTGGTCTCTGTGACACTTACTTTGAATTATTAAACTACTCACAACTCTCTGTATTTGTTCTTAGCTTTGGTCTGCATTTTCTAGCCATTTCGTGAGCTCTGGTGCTGATGGCTGTGTGATGCTGATTTGCTGAGGAGGGCTTCCTCTCAGGAGTTTGAGAAATGTTGTCCAGCCTTTCTTGAGGTCCTGGGTTTGATCCCTATCACCACAAAACAAAGGCTGGATTAGTAAGTGGAGCTCCTTTGCCTTCCTCTCTCCCTACAGGGATGTGGGGTTTCCATGACAGAGATTTGGTGCTGAGGAAAGCTCTGTATGCACTGATGGAGAAGGGTGTCGAGAAGGAGGCATTGAGAAGGCGCTGGAGGTGGCAGCAAACACAGCAGAATAAAGAGGTGGGTGAGTTTGGGTGGCAGCACCCTGTTTCCAAAGTCTCCTAGTGCTGATGATTGTATTTTCCGGTGTACTCCTGAAAAGTGAGGACATTGCGGCTAATACCATAGGACGAGCACCTTGTGACCAGCTTACACCAATCTCTACCTGCGACAGAAACGTGTAGTTCCTGTCAAGCCTTTTACAGATATTCAGTAGTTCTTAGTGGAGGTTTCTTTCTTTGTCTTTTCTTTTTTTCTTTTTTGTTTTTTTTATGAGCTATGATAACAAATATGTAATTTGTTTTTTATTATAAGACTAGATTACTCATTCATTCATTCATTTGTTGAGTGGTATATGCACTACTACAGTGTTTGTGGAGGTCAGAGGGTCAGAGGACAATTTGTGGGAGTTGGTTCTCTCCTTTCATTCTGGATTCCAAGGATTGAAACTCAGATTGTCATGCCTTTATCTGCTGAGCTATCTCATCTGCCCTGATTAATTTTGAGTCCCTTCTGTCCCCTCCTCTCTCTTCTTCCCTCCCCTCCCCTTCTCACTCTCCCCCTTCTCCTCCCCCCCCTTCCCTTTTCTCCTTAGGCAGGCTCTTAACTCTGTAACCCAGGCTAGCCTGGTATTTACTACATAGTCCAGGCTGGCACTGAATTTGCAGTAGTCCTTCTGCCTCAGCTTCTCAATTGCTGGGATATGGGTAAATCACTATTTCCAGCTTGTTTTAAATTCTTAAAAAAAAAAAAAGCATTTATTTATTTATTACATGTGCATGTGTACATGCCATGCCACACATGTGGAAGTCAGAAGACAACTTATATGAAACAGTTTGCTTCCACTGTGTGGGATCTGGAGATTGAACAGGTAGGTTTTCAGGCTTGGTGGCAAGCACCCTTAATTACTTAACCCACGTTTTTAATTCTTGTGTAAATGCTTGAATGTTTTTAATATTCTACAACTTTGCTTTTCATATACTTAGCTTTGGTTTGATTAAAGAATATAAAATGATACTTGTTAAATTGAATTTAAATATTAGTCTTCAGGGATTTGGCTGATATAATGGTTACTTTTATATAAGAAAGTAATGATGAGGGACCAGAGAGGTGGCTCAGAGGTTGAGAGCACTGGCTGTTCTTTCAGAGGTTCTGAGTTCAATTCCCAGCACCCACATGGAGGCCCACAACCATCTGCAATGAGGTCTAGTGCCCTCTCCTGGCCTTCAGGGAAGTAATGATGGATTTTTATGTTCCACCTCCACACCAGGGATTGGGAAAACCACAACTGTTTTGTTTTTGTTTTTGTTTGTTTTGGTTTGGTTTGTTTGTTTTTTTTAGTTTTGGTTAAAAAGGTTCACTGAAAGGTGTGTATTATAAATATAGCTGCTTTCCTTGTTTAAGCAGCACAAAGTACAGAGTGACATATGCTCTACAGAGCCTGGTGTATTTCCTGTCTGCTTCTCTATAGAAGAAGGTGACTGGTTCCTATAAGAATAGCATTGTACATTTATATAGAGCAACAGGCTTTCTTGTTCCTGTTTCCTTAGTTCTTGGCTCCTTTTCTCTGTATCTGCTATATTAGTATACTTTGTTTTCATGTGTAACTTGTTTTGTATGTATATATGTGCTTGAACATGTACATGTGCACAAAAGTGCCTTTGATGACACAAGAAAATATTGGTCCTTCTGGAACTGGAGTTGCAGGCAGTTGTGAGCTGCCCAGTGTTGGTGCTGGGAACTGGACCTGATCATCGCCAAGAACAGCATGTGTTTCTGTTGGGCTATCTGTATATTTCCTGCCTTTGGGTATTTTGTTTTGTTTGGCGATGCTTTGACTAGTTATTTCTGATATTAGATATGGTGATATCCCATTTCTTCCCTCATGCCCAGTTTTCATGGTTCCATTTTAACTGGCAATAATACAGAGCTAAAATAAAGGGGTTTTGTTTTGTTTTTGTTTTCTCCAGGCAGAGTTTCTCTGTGTAGCTTTGAAGCTAGTGCTGACATTCACTCTGTAGACCAGGCTGGCCTTGAACTCATGAGATCCCCCTGTCTCTGCCTCACAAGTGCTGGGATTAAAGGTGTGAGCCACCATTGCCTAGCTAAAATGAAGTTTTATGTCATTTTGAAGCTCAGTGTTTTCTGTTACAGCTCTTGGCACATAAGAATGCGGGCTAAAGTTCAGATTCCCAGAATTCTCATTAAAGCCACACAGGTTTGGTGGCCAGCTGTAACCTCAGCATTCAGGAGACAAGAGATGGGACTGTAGGACAGACAGCAGGGGCAGCTAGATTTGCTGGGCTCAACAAGCTGCAGGTTCAGTAAGATTTTTGTCTCTATAATAAAGAGATCAATCAAGGAGACACTTGACATCAGCTTAAGACCTCCATATAGACATGTATGCACATTCACACACATAACATACTGTTTTTTTAAAAGCAAAGAAACCATTTGTTACAGGTTGTTTCAAGTAGGATGGTATAGAATAAATAGTTTGAGGGTTGGAGAGAACTCAGCAGTTATTAAATTTGCTGCTCTTACAGAGGATTGGACTTGTGTCACCAGCTCCAGAGGACCTGATGCCCTCTTCTGGCTTCTATGGGCATCCACGTTTATATGACTCATGGAGACAAATAATTAAAATACATCTTTGAAAAGGAATCACAGAAAGCTGGGCAGTGGTGGCACACACCTTTAATCCTAGCACTTGGAAGGCAGAGGCAGGTGGGTCTCTCTTATTTGTTAGATCATAAACAAAATGCCATCACAGAGAGTTCCAGGACAGCCAGGACACAGAAACCCTGTCTCAGGGAGAAAAAGAAAAAATTATAGACATTTTCTTGATTAATCATTTTTGCTCCAAAGATAGAATCCATAGGGGCAAAAACACAAATTGACAATCTTTTTTTTTTTTTTTTTTCCCCTTTCTCCTCTGAGATGGAGATTTCTCTGTACAGCTCTGGCTGTATTGGTAGATCAAGCTGACTTCAAACTTTTAAGAGATCTACCTGACTCTGCCTACTGAGTGCTGCCATCATCTGGCTACAAATTGACATTCTTTATTATCACTCAAAAGCTGGGGTGGACCTTGTAGAAGGCTACCTTTCCTGAGCTTGACCCAAGCTGGCCTCAGATTTACAATTCACATTAAATTAGTAATGAGCTCTGCCTTTGATGCTGAGTGTAAGTCATAGCTGAGCTTTGACCACACCATGGACAAGGAAAGACCTCACCAGAGCGTGGCAGCTAATAAGTGGGAGTGACAGCAAAAATAAAATAAATGTGCTCACTTCTGATGATTAAGTCTACTATAGCTACTTTAAAGATAGGGCTAGATTTTACAGTGTTTGTCCAGAAGAACCAGCCATGCCTAAGTTCTTCCCTGTGTGTTCTTCCCTCCCTTCTGGGGCACATGTGTACAGGGAATAGAGGCTAGTGAAGGGGTTACTTTTATCCTTTGGTTGGAAATGTGTCATGCATGATTGTCTTGCTTGAACTTTGATAACTTCATTCCTTACCTTGGGAACAGGAAGGAGACAAGAATCATCTGAGATGCTTCTAGTTTTATGATACCAAAACTCAAATTAGTTATTTCCTGGACCTCCTTGATTTGTATAGAAATTGATGGTAAAACTTGTTGGGAGTGTGTGCCACCTAGTGGCCATATGTATTAAAGCAGGAAGCAGAGGGGCTGGAGAGGTAGCTCAGCTGTTAAGGGTACTTGTTCTTGTAGAGACCTGATGGCTCACAGCTGTCCATAATGCCAGTTCCAGGGGAACCAATGCCCTCTTCCAAACTCATTGAGCACCAGCAAGCATGTGGTGCACATACATACATGCAGCCAAAATACATGTATAAAATAAAACTAATTAACAAACAAACCCAGGCAGTAGCGGCACAGGCCTTTAATCCCAACACTAAGGAGGCAGAGGCAGGTGGATCTCTGAGTTCAAGGCCAGCCTGGTCTACAGAGTGAGTTCCAGGACAGCCAGGGCTACACAGACAAGTCCTGTCTCAAAAAGCCAAAACCCACCAGGAGTAGGTGACTGGGAGAGGAGAAAGGAGAGGCAGTGTATCAAAATGACATGAGCATTCCCTATATAACTTTCACATTGTACTGAAATCTGTGAGAGTATTTTACAAATCACAAATTGTGTTGCCTTTTTACTGAAGTAACGTACTTTCACAGTAGCTCTAGCCCTAGAGATGTTTGTTCTGGTGCTGCTCAGGATGTAGCTGGGCAATGAAATGCTAATGCTAAACAAAAAAATACTAATAAGGTAAAATTATCTCTCAAATCAAATCACCACTTGATCTAAAGCCTCCCCCCTCCCCCCACCTTTCTTCTCCACCCCCCCCCCCCCCCAGTTAGCCCAGTCTGGCCTCCAACTACTTTGTAGCTGAGGATGACCTTAACCTCCTCACCTTCCTGCCTTCATCTGAATGCCAGGACTATCGTGATTATTAGAGTGTACCACCACACCCAGTTTAGCTGATGCTGCAGATCAAAATCAGGGCTTCCTGCATGCTAGGCAAGCACTCTACCACTTATGCTGCATCCCCGTCCCCTAAAGCCAGGATATCTTAAAGTTGTGTGGCTGGATGTGGAGGCACATCTGTCAGGAGGATTAGTGTGAGTTTAAGGCCAGACTGAGTTACCCAATGAGGCCTTGTCTCAAAAAGCAAGAAGGCAGAGCAGATTATTTGTATTGTTATACACAACCCTTTAGTAAAAACTGTAACTTCACTTAGCATGGATTTATTAATTATTGATCACATAATAGGCACTGGGCCATGTTGCATGGTTCTTTCTTGTAGCGCAATACAATAAGAATGGACCTCTAAAGATATAGAGCCTGTCTCTGCCTCCTGTATGCTGAGGTGTGAGTCACTACTCCGACTCAGCTATGATGTCTATAATAGAGTTCTGTAGAGCAGTGGAGAGATTCAAAGGCAGGGGTGACTGATCTGCTGGGAGGCTTAAGAGAACTCCTCAGAGGAGAGCTTTGCTATTAAAGTTGAGGGTTTGTTTACCAGGTACGTAGGGAGTGGTCATTGCAGGCAGTGGGAATAACTTATGGAAAAAGTCAGAGTATGAGGCAGTTTCTGTCCAGAACAGCTCTGACCCGTGCAGAGAAAGGGGCAGGGCAGGAGGCAGGCTTTGCATACCATGCATGAGCAGTCAAGAGTCTTAGAGTGACTGTTATCAGGAAACATACCATTAGATTTTGATTGATGGGGGAAAATACCGTGGCCTAATAGGAATAGGTCTGAAGAATTCAGAAAACCAGAGAGATGCTTGCAGTTCATGCTTAGTAATTGTTGAGAGAGATATCCAGGTGTGGGACGGGTGAAAGAAGAGACCTCTAAGGTAACTCCCTGATTGTTAGTCTGGGTATCTGGATGATAGCGGGTGCTGCTTGATAAGCATATAGGAAGAAGACTGTAGAATTAAAGTCGCTTTAGATAGGTTGCAGTTTTTGGCAGACAGTTGGATATATGAACATAGAAATGAAAAGGAATTGTGGGCTTGAGAGGATTGATCCTAGGGTCCTGAGCACGTAGGTGGAGTAGATATGATTATAGCCTGTGAAGAGATCACCCAGAGGAAAGCAAGGTGCAAACAGTTGCCAAAACCCCAGTTTTGTGGTGAGGAGAGTTCAGAGACTAAGAGAAGGCAGTGATGTTGAAGCTAAAGTAGAATGTTTAGAGAGGCAAATAGACACACAGGCTATCAAACAGGAGGACCGGAGCCCCTTGACTGACAGTCTAGCTAGCCAGGGCATGATGGGAGATGTCATTCTGTGTATGTTTCTCATACTGGTTAATGAATAAAGCACTGTTGGCCAATAGGAAAGGAATATAGGAGGTACTAGGAGACAAGGAGGAAATAGGAAGTAGGAAGGAGGGTCAAGATGGAGAGTCTGTAGAGAATAGAACCACCAGCTGCCTCTCGCTGGTAAGACCACATAAAAATACATAAAAATGGGTTAATAATTAACACAGCTAGACAATAAAAAACTAGTAACTGGCCAACAGAATTATATCATATACAGAGTGTCTGTGTGTTATTTGGGGCTGGCGCAGCGGCGGGAAAAGACCGGGCGGCGGGTGGAAAAACTGTACTCTTTACAAGGGCAAGTGCCTTGTGTGGATGGGTAGTGTAGAGAGCAGAATTAGGAGTCAGGTGGCAACCAGTTCAAAAGGAGTAGATTAAGAAATGTGAGATTACTAGGCATGGGATCATGTACCTGTAATCACGGCATTGGGAGACAGATGAGAAGGACCAGAATTACAAGGCCAGCCTCAGTACATAGCTAATTCAATGTCAGTACATAAAATTCTGTCTCAGAAAGAAACAAGATGAGGCATGGTGTCACCTGCCTTTAGTCCCAGTACTGTAGAGGACAAGGCAGGCTAGCTTGATTCTAGGACAGCCAGGGCTACATAATGAGACCCTGTCTCAAAATCAACCAACCAGCCAACCTATTTTATGGGTTTTGACCCTGAAAAGGAGAAGTTTGATGAAGAGCAAGTATAAACTAAGTGCTAAGGGAATAGAACATGTATGTAACACTGGGAGAGTTGGGATGGGTATTGCCTTTAGAACCTAACTTCTGATTACCCAGTGAGCCTTCCTTCATTACTGCACGATTATTTTTCATAGTCAGGACTGGTGTATACCGAAGATGAATGGCAGAAGGAATGGAATGAATTGATCAAGCTTGCCTCAAGTGAACCCAGAATGCATCTGGGTACCAATGGAGCCAGTGGTGGTGGGTAAGTGTGGCTAAGTGGGAGAGCAGGGATCGTCTTTGAGGTGTCTTTAGTGAGTGAGCTCTCAGATCTCCAGCCCCAAATCTAGGCCTCTGTGCTGAAAGGATGTTGGGAGGAGAGAAAAACCATGGCAAGGGCACAGCGTTGTGTAGCAGGACAGCGTATCTCTGGAAAGAAGGCAGTGCAGAGAGAGTGATGGGTAAAATTGTGGATATAAATACACAAATACCCAGGCAGATGATAAAGGGGAAGTTAGAGTAGAGGCAGTTTTAGAAACAACTGGGTGAGGAATGTGGGAATAAACAGAGTGGTAGGTAGATATGCAGAAGGTATAAGAGCCACATAGGAGATGGAGTTGATTCAGCCAGGGAGTAGTTGGAGCTAAGTAAGAAAAAGAATAAATTTTTACAAACTTTAGTTAAGGTACTGAGTGGATGGTGAGGCTGTTCTTTAAATAAGAGAACAAGAACAGGAATTTGGAGGTTTTCTATCCTGTGACATTCATGTTGTGTGGGTTGCAGTGCAGGATGAAGCTGTGAGTTTGTGTATTTGACTCTTGGATAAAGAGATGTGGGAGGTGAATATTGAGAGATGGGGATCACCTGCAGATTGCTTGATCTTTATTTATTTGTGTGTGGAGGTAGGGAAGTGGCAAGTGAGTGCTCATGTGCATCGCAGTGTAGAGGTCAGAAAACAATTCCAGGGAGCCAGTGCTTCACTTCTGTCTACCTACCATGGCGGCAGCCACCTTGACCCATGTCACCAGTCCCTTACTCCCAGACCTGTAACACCATTTCAGCCCGTAGTAGCACAGAATACTCTGCAGAGCACTCTCCCTCCCCTGGAACGGGCCTCAGCACTCTAGCCTTGTGTCTTCCTCCTCCTGCTGTGCCTCCTCCATTCTCTTCCCTTGTAACTGTAGAGTGGAGAGTTCAGAGGAGCCGGTGTACGAGAGCCTGGAGGAGTTCCATGTCTTTGTCCTTGCTCATGTGCTCAAGAGGCCCATCGTGGTCGTAGCAGACACCATGCTGAGGGACTCCGGAGGGGAAGGTGAGTCAGCAGCTGGTTAGTCCTGTCATTGTGCCTCAAGACTTCTTGAATATAGAGACTTGGGCTGAACACAGCAGGACGTAGTGGAAAATTCTCAAGAGAGTCAAATGAAAGCTGTTGGAATTAGTTGGGATGGGGTGCTCAATTTAGAAATGGGATTATGGGGCTGGAGAGTTAAAAGTGGGAACTGCTCTTGCAGGGGACTCAGGTTTAGTTCTAGCATCCACATTGGATAGTCACAGCTGACTGTCACTCTATCTCCAGGGGACCAGGCACTCACACACTCGTGTGCATGCCCCACACAAGCACACGTGAATACCCATGCTTTAAAATAATAAAAAGTAAGTCTTAAAAAAGAGAGCAGAGCCAGGCGTTGGTGGTGCACGCCTTTAATCCCAGCAGTCAGGTGGCAGAGGCAGGTGGATCTCTGTGAGTTCGAGGCCAGCTTGGTCTACAAAGCTAGTGCCAGGACAGGTTCCAAAACAACACAGAGAAATCCTGTCTCAAAAAACCAACCAACCAACCAACCAAAGAGAGAGAGAGGGAGGGAGGGAGGGAGAAGGGGGGAGATAGGAGAGAGGAGAGAGAGAGAAGTGGGGTGGAGAGACTGAACTGTGCAAGAGCCTAGCCTTAGTAATAACAACCTTTATGGTTTCCTACAGCATTTGCCCCTATTCCGTTTGGGGGGATCTATCTCCCGTTGGAGGTCCCAGCTAGCCAGTGTCACCGATCCCCTCTGGTGCTCGCCTATGATCAGGCCCACTTTTCTGCACTTGTGTCGATGGAGCAGAAGGACAGTGCCAAGGAACAAGGTGAGGGTCCAGTGTCTGGGTCTGGTTTCTGTTCTTTATTATTTTTACTCAAAAATGGAAATGATAGTTAAGAAGGAGGAAAATGAAAGTCCAGATTCTGCCAGTTTTGGGATTTTTTTTTTTTTTAAACTAAGCTATACAATATTACCAAGAGTGTTTAGCTTTAAAAAGAGGGGGTGATTTGGTGAAAAAGGTGTCTGTCCCTGTTCTGGAGTAAAGATCTGTACTAAGGTACTGGCTTTCTAAGGGCTGCATTGCTGTACCTGTCTGTGGAAAATAGGCTGGAGTCCAGGAGATTAATAGACTAAATTGTGTACTGGGTGATAAGGGAAGTCCACTGGTTTTTAATGGAATTTTCTTCTAAGAGTTGAGGGTGGATTGACTACAGTCAGTCTGAGTTTAGTGAAGTCAATGCTGTTCATTTGCTTCTGCCCTTCTAAGGCAGACTTCCTGATGAGTGTTTTTCCCTCCCCAGCTGTGATCCCGCTCACAGATTCAGAGCACAAGCTGCTGCCCCTGCACTTTGCTGTGGACCCAGGAAAGGGCTGGGAGTGGGGCAAAGACGATAACGACAATGTCCGATTGGCCAGGTGAGGCAAGTTTAGCCTTTGCATGTGCATTGTAGCTGAGATCTCTTCCACGTGCGTAGCCTTGGACCCACCTTTCTTTCTTAGCTCAGCAGTAGCACAGTCACATCCTTAGTCTAGGGTTATTGGGAAGGTGGAAGGCAGGCCGGGGTCTTGCAGCTCCTTTGTCTTTCTTTTCTCAGAGCAGGGTGAGTTTTCCTGCCCAGAATCTCCAAAAATAGTGGTGAGAAAAGCAAGACAACCAAATGTGATTCTAAGCCAAAGTCAGAGGATTTTAAAACAAATGGCCAAAGTAGTCTGCTCTTAAATTTCATCTTTCAGGCATTTAGATAGCAAGGAAAATATGTTCTTTCTTACCTCCTTCTCAGAGCAGCCTCCTTATGGTCTTGATGTATCTCCTGGCACGTCCCTCTGTGCCTGCAGAGATGTTGGTATAACACAGGCCCCTTTTTTGCTTCCCTTTTTGGGCCTTTGCAACTTTGGGAACTGGCTGAAAGGTTTGATTTGATTTTAAGGTTGAGTACCAAAAAAAAAAAAAAAAGGCCTCATGGAGGCGTACACCTCACCTAGCACTCAGGAGGTTGAGACAGGGAAATCACTGGAAGTTCAGGGCCAGCTCAGACTACATAGTGAGCCCCTTTCTTTAAAACAAAAAGAAAACCAGAAGCTGTAGTCCTCACCTGATTGTCAGAATCTGCTAAGTAATGTCACAGCAATGACAATGGCTGCTGTGTGATATGTGGTCTCTGGACACTGCTGAGTCCTTTCCGAAGGACTACTTGCCTTTGAAGTAATAGCTCTTTCGTTTCTTTCCCTCCTTTTCACAGTATAATGCTGTCCCTGGAGGTCAAATTACACCTGCTGCACAGCTATATGAATGTGAAGTGGATCCCACTGTCATCTGACGCACAGGTGAAGGCTGTTCCCACCTGTAGCCCTTTGTGTGTCCTCGCTGTAGAGCCCATGGGCTCAGCTGGAAATCTGTTCTAGTGCCGTTTATGATGACGTCACAACATGTCCTCCTTGTGGCCCACCTGTCTCCAGTCTGCTTTTTCCTTACTTTGTTTTATCATTTGACTTTACCGCAGAGTGAACCGAGGACCTCCACGTTAGGCATGTGCTTCACCACTGAGTGACATGAGTAGCCCCAGACACTGCTTTCTAATGCTAAGCTTTCTTCTTTTGTTCTTGAGATTGTCTTTTCTGTGTCTCTGCCCCTTACTCTTTGGATAGCTCTGTTTTGGGCACTAGAAAGAGAATGCCAAGGAGTTTCTGGTCATGAGTTCAGGAACAAAGGCAGAGCTGCGAACTCTGGAGTATGGAGTGTATAGAAGCAGTGCTCAGGCTTGGATGCTTGTGGTTAGTTAAGGCTTCCTTAAAATTAATTCTGAACAGAATTTGACATAGGTAGACTTGTAATAACGAACATACTGGTATCTGCAAAAAAACTGTTTTTCCAGCCAGGTAAAGTAGCCAACACCTTTAGTCTCAGTATTTAGGGAAATAGAGGCAAGGGAATTGAGTCTTCTAGGCTACTCTAGATTGTGTAACAAGACCCTGTCTCACATGAAAGAAGGAGGGAGGGAGGTAGAGAGGAAGGAAGGAAGAAGAAAGGCCTCTGCCCACCCCGAGGCCATGCATGCAGTGCTTCATTGCTGGGCAACTCTCTGGCTGTCTTTGGGTCTCCCAACTATATCTGACTTCAGTAATTTAGATAGGTATCTTTTCTTGGCCCGTGACACACCTGGCTGAAGCTTTGTCATATCGGTAGCCCTTCTCTGGAGCTAGATAGTCACTCCACAGATGAAGTTCGTGGTGCACTTGCCACCTCTCCTAGTTTGTTTTCCTGTGCCTGTGGTAAAGACCATGACCAAAAAAGTAATGTGGGGAGGAAAGGGTTTATTTGATGATGGACATGTTTTGATATTACTCCATCATTGAGGAAGGCCAGGGTGGGAATCCAGAGGCAGGAACTGGAGTGGAGGCCATAGAGGAACGCTGCTTACTAGCCTGTTCTCCCCACTCTCTTACACAGCCCAAGACTACCTACCCAGAAGTAGCATCACCTACTGTGTGCTGGGCCCTCCCCATCAGTAACTAATGAAGAGAAGACAAAGTTTCACAGACTTGTGTACTTGCCAGAATGATGGGGGCAGCTCTTCAACTGACATTCCTTCTTCCCAGATGACCCTAATGTATTTCAGGGAGACAAAACACTAACTAGGATACTAGCCCTTTTTGTGTGGCCAATTGCTACAGTAGGGGCAACAGGAAGTCCTGTAAGCTGTTAGATAGCTCCCACGACTGTGGGAGCTTCCACACACAGCCCAGTGAGGTAACAGTCAGTGCTTGCTCTCTTACAGGCTCCTCTGGCCCAGCCCGAGTCCCCCACAGCCTCAGCTGGAGACGAGCCCAGGTCCACTCCTGAGTCTGGGGAATCAGACAAGGAGTCAGTTGGCAGCAGTTCTACCGGCAATGAGGGCAGCAGGCGGAAAGAGAAGGCAAAGCGAGACCGGGAGAAGGACAAGAAGAGAGCAGATTCCGTGGCTAACAAACTGGGCAGCTTTGGCAAAACCCTGGGCAGCAAGCTTAAGAAGAACATGGGGGGCCTGATGCATGGCAAGAGCCCCAAGCCTGGAGGGCTGGGGAGTGGGTCTGGGGTCAGCAGTGGTACCGAAACCCTAGAGAAGAAGAAGAAGAACAATTCACTGAAGAGCTGGAGAGGTGGCAAGGAGGAGGCCGCGGGGGATGGGCCTGTGTCAGAGAAGCCCTTGTCTGAGTCTGTTGGCAACGGAGGGAGCAAGTATAGCCAGGAGGTGATGCAAAGCCTGAGCATCATGAGGATCGCAATGCAAGGGGAGGGCAAATTTATTTTTGTTGGAACCCTGAAGATGGGCCATCGGCACCAGTATCAGGAGGAGATGATCCAGCGCTACCTTGCAGATGCTGAGGAGAGATTCCTGGCAGAACAGAAGCAGAAGGAAGCTGAAAGGAAGATCATGAATGGAGGGTTAGTTAGTGGGCCTCCTCCAGCCAAAAAGCCAGAGCCAGACGGTGGAGAGGACCAGCCCAGTGACTCCCCAGCAGAGTCCAAGGCACTGGCATTCTCTACTGGTTACCCTGGGGGCTTTACTATCCCTCGACCCTCTGGGGGTGGAGTCCACTGCCAGGAGCCTCGGAGGCAGTTGGCAGGGGGTCCATGTGTAGGCGGCCTTCCATCATATGCCACCTTCCCCAGACAGTACCCTCCTGGGCGACCCTACCCCCACCAGGACAATATCCCATCTCTGGAGCCAGACAAAGATGGAGTGCACAGGGGTGCCTTGTTACCACCCCAGTTCCGTGTGGCTGATTCCTATAGCAATGGCTACAGAGAGCCTCCCGAGCCAGATGGATGGGCTGGAGGTCCCAGGGGGATTCCCCCAACCCAGACCAAATGCAAACAACCGAACTGCAGCTTCTATGGACACCCTGAGACAAACAACTTCTGCTCTTGCTGTTATAGGGAAGAGCTGAGGAGGAGGGGGCGGGAGCCCAGTGGGGAGCTGCTGCACAGGTTCTGAATGGTAGAACCTCAGCCGGAAAGGGGCAAAACAAAGAAAGCTAAGCTCAACTCTGGCTCAAGACCCAGCCCCTATATTGATGGGGCCAGTGCAGGGATGTTTGTGGGAGCTGCGGTGCTGGCAGGCTGGCGAGATCAGGGCAGGGCTAGTACTACCTCAAGGGCTGTACTACTCCACTCATGCAGAGTTTGACTTGAGACTGCACCACGGAAGGGGAAGACTATCGCATAACCTCTCGTGCCGGTCCCAGGGCCCAAGGGAAAATAGGGAAATACTTGGTGTGTGTGGGTGGGAGGCGGGTGGAATCTTGGGGGCGGAGTCTGGAAAGAAAGTTCTCAGTCAAGGAAAGAATAGACCAAAGTTCATTGAATTTAGGAAAAAAGCACATGGTGGTGGAGTTGGGAGTATAAAGCGAATCTGAGATACTGAACAATTTTGATCTTGGTTTGAATTAGGTAGATGTCAGGCTTGGGTAAATTCTCCTTCCGGAAGGGTCAGGCAGTGTGTGCTTGGCCTAGTTAGAAAGGGCCTTTTAAACCCCAGTGAGTGAAATGGGAGAGGGAGGAACTTGAAGGGGAATTCTTTTTCCTAGTAAGTTTTATGTTCTTCTAGATAGTCACCTGTCATCCCCATGTTTCCCTCCTTTTTGAGGACTGAGCTCAGCTAAGCAGTGATTAAAAGTTTTTAAGAGCAAGTGCTCTTTGGGAGAAAGAAGGGTGGTAAGAGCAGCCTCATGTGGGGCTGGCTGTCTTCAGGTGGGTGGGTGCAGAGTGATCTGTTCTAACTACTAAGCAATAACTACATGTGGGGGCTGAGTGCACTGAAGAGGGAGGAGGAAGGCCAGAAGCTCGGCCAGACTGTTCGAAACAATACCAAAAACCTATATAGAACACTCCTCTGCTGCTGCATTTCTGTAGAAAGCAACTTATTTTACTGACTAATTTTTTAAAGGAAAATAAGACCCTGCCCCCCCAAAAAATTAAAAATTACTTACTCCCCACCCCCCATTTAAGTGATTTTTTTTTTTTCTCTCCTTCCTTTCTACTTCTGGAGAATTAACTTAACATCCTGGCTTCTTTTGTTAAGCCATAGCTGACCTTAATCTATGGTTAGTTTATTAAAATAATAAAAATACTTTGTAAGAAGAATTATTTTTGATATTAGGACTGGTGTTGAAGCGTGGGATGGGGTTAGGGGCCATTTATAAAGATAGCTAGAGAAATATATTTTAGTGAACCATAGCCACAGGCCCAGCTTAGTTCCAGTGAGCTGATCAGCTTTTGGATTCCTCCCTTTTCCTGAGCCAACCCTATTCTCCAGAGGGGTGGAGTGACCCCAGTGCTGAGAGCTCCCTTTGCAGTTTGCACAAAGCACAAGTCTGGACAGTGTATGCTCTGACCAGAGCCATTTCTGAGAGCTTTAAACCAGAAGACTATCCTTCGCCAATTACCCCTTTTCCATATATATCCCCCCCCCCCCGGGAAAAATCATCTATGCAATTGTATACACATGTGGCTGCATATGAACAAGGGGTGTGAGTGTGCTTACTTGTTCAGAGTGTTAACTGGGTTATTTCTGTACGTTGTTTGCTGAGGTATATCACCACCTACTAATGGAATGTAATGCCCACATTTGATCTAAGTCACAAATAGCGCTGTGTGTGTGTGTGTGTGTGTGTGTGTGTGTGTGTGTGTGTGTGAACTCCTGTCTACCTAGTCAGGAAAATGGTCTCACACTTCCCCTTGCTAATAAAGCTAGTTAAGAATTCCTCGTTGAAATTACTTAGTTTAGAAAGGCTTTTTCCCCCCCTCAAAAAAAATTTTTTTTGAAAGTAATCCACTTCCATATCTGCCAATCTGTTAATTTAGTAATTTCCCATCATTATTTTTAGACAATTTTTGTTTGTTTCTTTGCTGTGAGGCCCTGGCTGGCCAGCCTGGTACTTGCTATATAGCCCAGGCTAGCCTCCAACTTATAGCCACCCTCCTGCCTTAGTCTTTTGAATTGTGGGATTTAAGTGTGAGTCACCACACCCAGGTTTCTTTAGGCTGGAACCTAATATGAGACAAGCATTTCTGGCAGGTGTCTAATTTAAAGGTCTATCCAGAAATTGAAGTTTTTTTTTTTTGTTTGTTTTTTTTTTTTTTTTTTTTTTTTTTTTGTTTTTTGTTTTTGCTTTTCTTAGTTGGGTCCTAGTCTACACCCTAGGCTGGCTTCAAACATATGACCCTCTTGCTCCAGCTTCCCGAGTGCTGGCATCATACCACCAAGTATATAAGCGTAATATAAAAACCAGATTGACCAACAACATCAAAGTCTTGATATACAAGAAAGGTGAAAGAAGTGAACAAACCTGAATGAGGACAAATCCTGTCTATTTAAATTTCAATATGTTCATAGTTTATTTTTTTTTTACATTTTTGATTTTTGAAAAATATTGCATCAAGATAATATTTGTAGCGGTTTGTATGTTTTAAGCACTCCTTCAGTTTTTCTCCCAAGGTGAAGGAATGCCTTGTGCCTTGTTCTCATCACCTTAGACTTGTCCCAGTTTCTGGAGTTCTGATGACCCTGGTGAAACCAGCACCAGATGAGCCCCTCCCTTCCCGACACTCCAGACTGTGGTGCATGGTGTGCACTGCTCTGCTGTCCTCCCACAGCCCCATGGGTGCCTGCCTAGGCGGGTAGGAAGGAGACGGCTGGGCAGGGAGGGTTCCCTATAGAATAAAACCAGGGAGGCTGCCCTCCATTGAACTGCTGTGTTTGGACCTGATCTGTTACTAGATTGTATTTACCACTCTTGTTTTAAAAAGCAGAAAACTGAGGACAAATGAAGAGAAACAGAAACCTTGTATCATTTTGTTTTCATTTATATGGTACCCAGTCTTAATTGTTTGCCTTTTCAAAGCAAAAATAAAAGGAAGCTCCAGGGAAAGGGAATTCTAAGATCATGTGGAAAAGTGAGTTTTCGGCCCTTTAACTTTTTATTAAATTAGTTTTACTTGGGAGGATGACTATTAAGGCACCGAAAGGCCTCTCCATTCTAAGGATGAGGGGCTCTGAGACAACATTTTTTTTTAAAATAAGGGATGGTGAACTTTAATTTTCATTCTTTTGGTGGGCGAAGAAGGGGTTGAACAGGATGGAATTAAGGAATAATGTCTGGAAAACAAACAGATAAAGATTGGCTTGTATTTTGGAATAGACAAGCCCATGCAATTACTGTGGTGAGGAGAAGTGGGGGGGGGTATGTGGGGAGCATTCAAATGAGTAAAACCTCCAAGGAGGGTCATGTGAGTGACAGGAAGGCAGGCCCTGTATCCCTAGGTGAGGCATGGCCTCCTCTCTCAGGCTTTACATTTAAGTGCAATTACTCATGTTAATGCAGGGCATCTGGGCTCCTACTGAAGTTTAATGGAGAGAGGAGATATTCAGGGTTCTTATTTTTCTCCTTTCCACTTAACATGGTTACACTCTTATCTACCCTACATTCTCTGCCCTGCCCCCAACTTACAGCAAATACACTAGAGGGCTGGCCTCCAAATCCTTCCTCTTAACTCATGCTGGCTTAATTGAGAATTGCAAAAGATTTTCCTCATACTGTGTTTTATAAATAATATAAATTATGTCTCTTTATTTAGTTTTTAAGATGCAATTTCTAAGAGTGAGGGGTGGTGTTAAGCTCCCTGCTGTGCCTTAAAATAGAAGTACCTTCCCTCACCATAGGCTTCCGAAGTCCACAGACCAATAAAGCAAGAATTACCATGACTTTATATTGCACACTTGGGAGGTGATCCTGAGCCCAGAGAACGAGCTGATTCTCTGAGATCTGGCTCTTGTCTTTTCTTCCTTCAGTCACACGCCCAAGTTTCCAGGCACTGTGTTTTTCCTTCAATAAAGGAGCACTGGGAAATAACTGAGTTACTCAGACACCTCTGGGCTGTGTGTGCCCTCTTTTTCCAAGGATGCAGTCAGTGCCAGCCATACAGCCATACCATAGGTGAGAACAGAATTGGAAGCCATTTTCTGGCTTGGAAACACAGGTATCCCAGAGTCTTAAGAATTTCACCCTTCCCTCCATCTCCAGCTGCCGATTCAGTGAATCATAGAGGCACTCTGTCCCTTTTAATATTTGGCAGAAACCCAGTTGCAAACTAGGGCGATTGCCTCCTGTTCTTACGCTGATTAACTACCATGCTTCCACGTAAAATTCCTGCGCCCCTCCCTCCATTGGCTGTGTGGGTTGGGGCGGGAGAAGCGATGGAAGCTGACTGAGGAGTGGGGTAGGAAGGACCTTGGCCTCCTTCTGTGTTTATAACTGGATCTGTGATTCATCTTGTGAGTCACTCAGCTCCACCTCCCTCCCCCAGCTGCCCCTCCCAGAAGCCCTTGCTCCTGGAACAAATTTGTGACCAAAACAGGGGGTTGGAAATGGAAAAATCTGGTACAGCTTTTTGCTTCCCTATGCCCTCTCCATCCAGTGGACGTTTGGGTTTGTGCTGTAGGTGGGGAGTCTTCCTGTTACCTAACCCTCGGTTGCTACCCCTTTGCATTTCTGGTTGGGTGATGATCCACATCACCCAATTTATTTCTCTGATTTCTCCCAGTTCTGACCATTTCTTCCTCTGTAGTCTGCTATTCCCTTACCTCTAGGTATTAAAGAATAGCTTGAGGCTCTCGAAAAGTGGGGAGAAAAAAAAAAAAAGAGGATCATGGGATTTTAAACCTTCGGGGCACACCTCTTCGTATGCTGCTTCCTTATTACGGTTCATACTTTATTCCACAAGACATGGAGGTATGTGGTGGGGTAGTGGGGTTCGCAGCCATCTGGACTCCTGCAGTCAGGCTCGTGGGCCCCTTGCTAGCACGTACATACACCTGTTTGCTCCAGACTGACTCCGCTCGCTCGTGCTAGCTTCACTACTTACACAGTTGCAGCCAACATGGGGAACCTTAGAAGCTGAGGCTGGAAGGGTGTGTGCTGTGGGGAAGGGAGTATTGAATGTCACGGCCCCCACCTAAGGATTGCTGCCTCTGTACAGACTCAAAAACAATAAAACAGCACCTCATTAACAACTATTTTGTATTCATTTCCTGTCTTTTCCGTGTCGAAACTGCTGCCCTCAAGTTGCCTGCCCTTCGCCCCCACCTCTGTTCACGACTCCACCCCCATCTTTGCTTCTAGAGTTCATCTGGGAAGGAGGAGGGAGATGTGATCCTGGGCTAGCTGAAAGCACGTTTCCAAACCCTGGCTTTCAACGTCCAGAACATGAATCATTCATTAGCAGATCTGGTGACTGAGTTGGAGAGGAGGAGTCATGTACCTGGGCAGGGGCGGGAGCGGGGAGGTGCGCTTGCTGTGGGTAAAGGCTGGGTTAGATACTACGACTCTTTCCTAGGCTTTCTACACTGCCCCCCCCCCCTCCGAGATTTGCTCGCCGAAACACCGGTACTAGGTCTGCATCCCGAAGCACAAACTTCCGCCCACTTGCCCCTCGGCCTGTCACGCTCTCAGTAAAAGGACACAAGGTCCTGTTCCCATTTTTACACCTTCTTCTCAACCCCTGTTGTTAGGTTGTCAGAAGAGGTTGAAAATCAAAGACCAAAACAAGAACATAATCACAAAATTCATAAATAAACCAAACAAAAACAACCTGTTTCCTAGTGTTTCATTTCTCACTGAACAGTACAAAGAACTAGCCCAAAATGTTTCCATTTAATAACTGCATCACTGCTCCCCAACCCTAGCCTCTAATATTTACGAACAGAAAGAAAATAGAATGTGGAGTTGGGTAAAGGGAATCCCCCAGGTACCCCATTTCTCCCATCTTTCTTAAGGTCCTCCATTTCCTTTCTACTTTCCAAAAAATTGTGCGTATTCTCCTTTAAGGGGCTGGGCATCTCGCCTGCCTTCTTTAGAGCCACCGAAGTTTCCAAAGAGCCTCCCCTGTCTGGGCTGGACACACCTTTCAAATAAGGACCCCCTCCCCCTGGAACTGTGCTCTTCACATCCCAAACGCTGTTTCCCCTGGGTCCTCCCTGGCCTCTTTCTCCCCTCCTCTAGGATTTAACCTCTCCTCAGAGAGTGGGCATCTTTGAGGACTCACACCCTTAGCTGCTCCACTCCCGGATGGAGCCAGGGAAATGTGGTGGGGGGGCCGGGGCCAGAGGTTCAACATTGCCCCCCAGAAGGAGCAGCCAGAGATGGGGGTAAGGAGAAAGCTGGGCAGGACGCAGTGAATGGGGATGCTGTGGAAATTAAGAGGGAAGGAAAGGATCCAGAGAAGGGTGTATCTGTTAAATCAACTGTCCTGGAGCTTGCTCTGCCTGAGTTGTCTCATTATCCATTAACTAGCCCCACCCTGTCCTGTCTGCCAGCCTCAGGCCTGAGCTCCTGGTAGTCACTGGTCTCAGTTTCCCTGAGAGGGAGAGGCTCAGGGTGGGTCCCCAAAGGCAGCTGATGAAGAATTCCCAGATCCTGAAGTTAGGAAGTCCCAGATTAACCTCCCCCTTCTCAGCTCTCTGGACCAAAGTCTGACACAGGCAGCAGGATGCCGGAGCCCAGCAGTCACCAGCTTGGCAGTCACCAGCTTGGCGGTTGTCTGGCCTCTGGTTGCCTCCCAGGTAATAATCTGTCTTTTCAAGACTCCTTCAGAATTCCTCCTACCCCAACCTTCTTATATTCTCACACTGATAGCTATGTATTCCTTTCCTCAAAGTGTTTCTGCCTGAGGCTTGCTCTCCAGTCTCCCCAGAGCTGGTGGGGAGCTTAAACCTCAATGGTCCCTCTGCTTTCTTGCCTTGGTTAGCCCCTTTCTTATTAACTAGTCCATGACCATTGAGTGTCTACTATGTACCATGTTCTGTGCACTAAGTTATTAGAGGTTAAAAATGCAAATCACTTCCCTTCTATCTTACATTCTAGAAAGAGGTGTAGGTATGTAGATGTGTGGCAACATTGGGAACAGCTAGAATTTTGCTTCCCCTTTTCCCTTTTAGGGGAGAAGATCCTAGCATGGGCACCAGGGCTGAGGAAAGGGCAAGAACTGGAACTACCTGGAACTCTGATCTGCACTAACTTTAGGGTCACCTTCCAACCTTGTGGATGGCAGCGAAATCAGGTGCGATGGTTAGTAAATAGAAAAGACAGACCTGTGACGCCAATACTCTGGAGGATGAGATGGGAAGACCATGATCGTTCCAGACTAGCCTAGGCTACACAGCATACTGTTTCAAAAACACATAACAAATAAAAGGACAGCTAGAGTGAACTGGGAAAGGAAGTCTGGATTTGGACAAGCATGGATTAGGGGTTGTCTTTTGAATATGTTGTTGATAGGAGGAATTCTTTCTAGGGAAGTTGCCTTCTACTGGGGAGGGGAGGGGAGGGGAGGGGAAGGTAGGAGGCAGTATGGTTGGACAATGATGGCTGTTGGAGGTCTACAGCACCAGTCTTGTACTCCCTTTAGGATACTCCCCTGAGCAGTGAATATGATTTTGCTTTGATCAACATTGGGCGATTGGAGGCTGGTAAGTCTGAGGATTTGACAAAAGGGCTGTCAGAGCACCCCCTGCAAGTGGTGTGGGTCAGGATGGACTGGAGAGACTCCCCCTAGAGTGACCCATGGTTATTCACTCTAACTCTTGACTTCAGTGAGTGGCTTGTCAAGGGTGCAGCTCCTCCGTCCAGGGTCCCAGCTTAAGTTCATCCCAGAGGAGATCCTCATTCATGGCAGAGACTTCCGCCTGCTTAGAGTTGGTTTTGAGACCGGAAGGCTAGAGCCTCAGGCCTTTCAGGTAAGAGCGCTTTCATTTGAAGAACCCTCACCTTGGGAACCCAGGTTCCTCTCCATGCTCCAGCATCTCCGTTCATTTGCTAAGGCTGGAGTGAGAGTCTTATGAGGGGAGGGACCAGAACTGTAGTCTGGCTCTGTCAGTTATGAGCAGTAACTAAGTTTTGCCTCTGAAAAATGTGAAGAGTTGGATAATATTCCTCAGCTCCCCCTCCCAAATTAATCAATCAATCCATGGTTCTAGATTTGTTTCTGTGACCCCAGCACCTACCACTTGTGGAAGTCCCCTTCTCTAGGGCCTGTGTTAGCTACTCTGCTCTCTATTTGTGGAAAAGACAGTAGAGCAACACGTGCTCTATTTCATTCTTTTTACTTATTTAGTCTGAGGATAAGGATGGGATATGCTCTCCTCCCCAGGTAACCATGGCCATCGTTCAAGCCAGAGCTCAGAGTAGTCAAACCCAGCAGTATAGAGGAATAACCCTGAGCCAAGCTGGTAAGTGAGGATGCTTTAGGTCAAGGAAATGGGAAGAGAGTCTGAGACAGAAGGGGACAGTTGGATAAAATATTTCTTCTTCCTCTGTGTCTCACTCCTACTCCAGGCAAGGTTTCTGGCTCCAGAAAACCACCTATTCCTCTCTTGGAGACTTTAGAAGACTGGGAAGCTGAGCGGAAGCAGCAGGGGGCCAGAGGCTGGAGGGTTAGCTCAGTCAATGAGAGGTTCGACATAGCTACCAGGTGATGTCCCTATCCACCCCTGACTCCTGCTGCCCTCCAAGTCTTTCCAGAGTTCCTTACTCCAGTTCCAGTACTTCCCATGAACTCCAGCCTCTGTTACTCTGCTTTTAAAGCCTGAGATCCCTTAGAACGGTCTTTCCAAAGTAACTTCCTTGTCATAATAACTTCCCATTAGCAGAGGTCACTGACAAGCTGTGACATCACTCTTCATTTTACAGCCTCTCAGGTTACTTCTGGGTCCCTAATCGAATTCTGGACAGTGAGGTCAGAAGAGCATTTGCCCACTTCCATCAGGGCCGTGGACCGGTCAGTCTGAGATTAGAGGGTCAGGGGACCAGGGATGGGAGGGCTTCCTGTGAGGTCATTGTTGAGGCAAGGGTAGCTTAAGTGTAGTTCTTCTGCAATAACCGTCTTCTCACCCATATGAAGCGCCTGTCCTGGCACCACCCTGGCGGCAGTGACCTTCTCCGATGTGGAGGCTTCTATGTAGCCAGTGACCCTAACAAAGAAGACACCAGGTGAGGAGTTGCAATGAGACTAGGGGCTAGGTATTCTGAGAAGATACCTTGCTTTAATTCCTGACTCCCTCCCTCCCTCCCCTTCAGAGCAGTGGAAGCAATGCTCCAGGCGGGGCACTCTGATGTTGTCTTGGTAGATGCTATGGATGAGATGCCTAGTCTTGCTGATACTCAACTTGCCCACCTGAAGCTGAGGGCCCTTTGCCTGCCTGGTGAGAATAACCTTTGATCCTCAACCCTAACCTGGTTTACTATTTTACATATTATAAATAACCCTTTAGCTCAATGATTTTTTACTTTTCCATCCCATTTTCATTTCTTACAGTTTTACCAATAGCTGTTTTCTCCAAAGTTTTGTTTTGTTATTTTTCTATTTGTTTTGCTTTATTTTTTTATTCTTTGAGATAAGATTCTCACTCTGTAGCCCTGGCTGACCTGCAACTCACTATGTAGACCAGGCTGGTCTCAAACTCACTGGTTTATCTGTCCGTCTCTGTCTTATGAGTGCTGGGATTAAAGGCATGCACTACCACCGCACCCTGCTCCCCAACTTTAAAAATAACACTTTCCTGGCTGAATATGTGTGTAGTGGCACACATCTCTAATTACATCATTTGAGGAATAAAATTAAGAGGATTGCTATAATGAATTTAGGGCTAGTCTGGGCTGTCAGACCCTGTCTCAAAACAAAACAAAACAAAATAAATACCTTTATGAAATTCACCCTACCCATCTTAAGTGTCAATGAATTTTATTTATAATATTGTATACTCATAAAACATTTTTAAATGCTGAGGATCAAACCAAGGCCTCCATTTATATTTAATGTATGTATATAATGTACATGTGCATATCTGTATATCATGTGCTTGGGGGGGGTGCCTGTGGTGTTGGATCACCTAGAGCTGGAGTTGCAGGTGGCTATGAGCCACCTGACATGGGTACTGAGAGTCAAACTTAGGTCATCTGCATGCACTCTGTCTGATCCCCTGGCTGGTTTTTCTCTACCCACTAGGACCCCACAGCCACTTATAAGATAACCACTTAGAGACTTAATATATATTTATAATTATTTGGCCAATAACTTAGGTTTATTATTGGCTAGCTCTCTCTCTTACAAATTAACCCATTTTTACTAACCCATTTCACTAAACCCATTTTATTAATCTGCGGCTGTGGCTTACTGGTGATGGCCTGGCATCTTGCCTCCCCTGTGGCTACAAGGTGTCTCCTGACCCTGCTTTCTTTCTATCTCCGTTCAGGTTTCCCACCTGGCCCTACTCTGCTTAGTCATTGGCTGAAACAGCTTTACTCATTAACCAATAAAAGCAACACATATTTGCAGCATACAGAAGGACATCCCACATTAGTCATCTGAAAGAACAATGTGTCCTCTTACCACCACACCATTTCTCCAGCTCCCACTACCAAACCATTTTACGTATTTTGGTTTGCTTTTTTTGAGATAGGGTCTTACATTATAGCCCTGGTTGTCCTAGAATTCACTATGTAGACCAGGCTGGCCTCCATATCATAGAGATCTGTCTGCCTCTGCCTTCCAAGTGGTAAGATTAAAGGAGTGCATGACATATTGACCCTATCATACTTCTTCACCCGTTAGGGCACAGACCTGGATCCTGATCTCTTTGTTCTTGATTCCTTCTGCTAGATTCATCTGTAGCTGAAGATAAGTGGCTCTCGGCCTTGGAAGGAACACGATGGTTGGACTATGTCAGGTATGCCCAAATTTCTAATCTTGATTGATAATTCCAACTTTTTAGCCCAATGTAATAGCACACACCTTTAGTCTCAGTACTCAAATGCAGGGGTGGAGGCACAGGGCAGAGGCAGGTGGAGGTCTGTGAGTTAGAGTTCAGCCAGATTTACTTAGGGAGTTCCAGGATAGCCAGGGCTACTAGTGAGACTGAATTGAACTTCTCCAGCCTTTTCTTGACTTGGGCTTTCTGTCCATAAATCCATCCCCTTGGTTTCCCATGAAGACTGTATTGCTGTTTTTTTAGAAAGAGCAGGTGTTTGGAAGTCTGCCAATCTATTACTCCCTTTCTCACATGCCTGTCCAGGGCTTGTCTTCGAAAGGCCAGTGACATCTCAGTATTAGTGACGTCCCGGGTTCGTTCTGTAGTACTTCAAGGTGAGTTCCTTCATGTGATTGGATAGTGTGGATGGGGGATGTCAACAGAGCTTCCTTGTACCCTTAAATACCAGCATCTTCCTGCCTATGGGAGGCACTTGCACCAAGCATCCTTCAGAGCTACGCAGTCCCCAACTCTAAAGGTGGTTTGGGAAGTGTGGCTCTGCTTCCTCTGTGACACTGGGTGTTTCTAGAAGGTGAAGTGTACCAGGTCAATCATTTGAGCTTTGTTTTCTCTTTACTTCTCTGTACTCTTTCAATCCTGTTGTCCTTTCCACGCCCCTCCCCTCCTCTTCCCGTGTTTCCTCTCCTCATTCCCTCCTGTCCTAGTTTCTTGGACCCCCTTTTTTGTCCCTTCTTCATCACCCAGAGCGTGGTGACCGCGATTTCAATGGCCTCCTCTCTTCACTCGTCCAGCTGCTTTTGGCCCCTGAAGCCCGGACACTGTTTGGTTTCCAGTCACTAGTGCAACGGGAGTGGGTGGCAGCTGGACATCCCTTCCTGACCAGGCTTGGGGAAGCTGGGGCCAGCGAGGAGGTGAGACACTTAGGGTCTGTCTTTTTGGTGGTTATTACTAAAGAAATGAGGGTGAGAAAACGATACAGCCTAACCCACTGGAAATGAGCCTACTCTGAACAGGCTGAAGGCTGACCGAACACTCAGATGAGTCAGGCTCCCCCTCCCCCCCACTCTCAATCCCTATTTTAATCTCTGACCTCTTAGTGTCCTGGTCCTCTGGTCGCATATTTAGTTTCCCCCTTCTTTGTATCCCAGCAGACTCTCCATCCTCTCCTTTCTGCTTTAGGCCCCGGTGTTTCCTCTCTTCCTTGACTGTGCCTGGCAGCTCCTCCAGCAGTTTCCGGCTGAATTTGAATTCTCCGAGTTTTTTCTTCTTGCTCTGCATGACAGTATCTGGGTTCCTGACACCCTCACTTTCCTGAGAAACACTCCCTGGGAGCGTGGCAAGAAGAGTGGGCAGGTCAGTACCTCTAGATTTATTTATTTATTTATTTATTTATGTATGTATGTATGTATGTATGTATGTTTTTCCTGCAGCATTTCAAACTTTGAAATCTGGTCCTGATTTATGAAAACTGAGTTTTGTGGAAGGGGTTGGGGAGCTCACTTGAGATTAGACTTTTGTTCCACATGTGAGTGATGCCTGAAATAGGAGATAAGAGGGTCGTAATTTGTTTCTAGATGTGGGATGAACACGGACACACACACACACACACATACACACACAGGTTTAACCCTCCCTGTTTAAACGTTTGTGTGTGTGAATGTGGATGTGTGCGGGCAGCAGAAGCCCTGTGGAGGTCAGCGGACAGCTCAGGTGCCAGGCCTCACCTTCCACCTATTGCTTGTCTGCTGCATCCTCCAGGCTGGTCCCTGAGCTGCCAGGGATTCTCCTATGTCTGCTCCCCTCTTCCCATGAAAGCACTGAGGTCGCTGACCCTGAGCTCTATGGTTCTGGGAACTCAAATTCAATGTCCTCTCCTCACCCTCACACAGCAAGTGCTTTTATCCGCCAAGCCACTTCCTGAGCTCTAACCATCCCTTTTCTTGCTTCTGCTGTCTAGTTCAACTCCTATACACAAGTTTACACCCCCGAGTACTCCCAGTCCTTAGCTGGGAGCTCTGTTAACCTACAGCTGTCTGTCTGGGACTGGGATTTACGCTACAGCAAGGAACAGATATCACAGTTCCTTAATCCTGGCTACAATCCGGAGCATCGCCCAAATTCTTGGCTCCCTAGACAACAGGTAAAATGCCTACACTTCAATTCCCTTGACTTTCCTAGGTTCACACTACTAGATGAGATGTAGAAGGACAGGATATCTGAGTTCCTCAGAGAAAGCAACCACTGTTTTTTACAGCTATCACTTGTAACCCATGTCCTATTTGTCTTCATTTCTGTTTGTCTGCTTGTTTCATGTCCATATATTACAAGTTTCTCTAAAGTCAAACTAATAAGCCCAAAGCCCTAAAGCCTAGTGAGCCGTGAGCTCAGAGCCTTGGGGCTGCAGTCACCAGAACCATGAGTGTGTAGTAGTGGGATACCCTTCCCTTTTCAGAAAGCTTGTTTTCTCAGTTGCCTCTTGACTTCATTTTCTCTTTTAGGCAAGCTTCATGGTTCCGGGGCCCCCCAGTTCTGTGTGGCTGTTCTCTAGAGGGGCCCTGACACCCCTGAATCAGCTCTGTCCTTGGCAAGACAGTCCCTCCTTGTTGGCAGTCTCTTCTCACTGGCTCTCTCGACCTGCTAGATCCTCTGAAAGCCTGGCTGATCAGGAATGGGGGCTCCCTTCACACTGGGGAGCTAACCCTTTACCTCCTGGGTTACTTCTGCCTGGCTACCTGGGACCTCAGATCAGGTTCTGGAGACGCTGCTACCTGAGGGCAAGGCCTGAGGTCCAGGTGAGAAGGGAAGACAGACTGGAGGGGGAGAAAGCGCTAGAAAGGCAAAGGGCTGGAGGAACTGAGTGCCCTCCGTTTATCAGACCGGGTCCACTTGGGATAACAGGTGGCGGGAAAACTTGGATCATGCAGAATCTAGAGCACAGTCAGAAGAGGAAAGATCAGTTTAAGACTCTAGAAATAGCAAGGATCTTAAAACTACCTCCTTTGCCAGGCCACCCTGGTCTACAAACTGAGTTCCAGGGCACCCAAGGCTACACAGAGAAACCATGTCTTGGAAGAGAAAAGGCAAGAAAGCTAGCTGGAAGATGGTGGTGCATGCCCTGATCTTAGCACTTGGGAAGCAGAGGCAGGTGGACTGCTGTGAGTTTGAGGTCAGCCTGGCCTACAAAATGAGTTCCAGGACAGCTGCACAGAGAAACCTTGCCTTGAAAGAACAAAGCCAGAGAGGAAAGCCAGAGAGGAGGGGGGGGGGGAGGGGCGGGCAAGCTAGATTTGCAACAATATACCTTTGTGCCCTTCTTTTCCTCCTCCCCAGATGGGCTCCTCAGCTCCCACAATCTCTGGCCTCCAGGATGAGCTTTCTTGTCTTCAGGAACTATTAAAAAAATTGACACCAAGAGTATCTCCTGAGAATCACTGCAAGAAGAGAGATCCAAATACCATCCTCTCTCAGATCCGCTGAAACTGCTAGCATTCTCAAAGTCAGGGCATGGGGAATGTGGAGGGAGTTCTGCCCATCTTTCTTATTATCTGACCTCAGTGCTATAGCTTTCACATTCCAGCCACAAAGGAGCTCACTCAGTGCGAGAGTTCCTGTAGCAGACATGGTGCTACCAACCTCTGATCCCCCGGCTTGTTTGGCTCTTGGAGCTATTGTTTCTCTGGGAGAATAAGAACAGAACCACTTGGAAATGTTTCCTTTTTCCAGGCAATTCCATGCCCTTTAGATGTCAAACTGTCAAAACCAGGAGATCGGAGACACTTTAGTCAGTTCTAACAAGATATCCTAGAGACCTCATTCTCAACCCCTCACCACTGCTTTGAAATCCAGTTTTAGTCTTCTGTGGGAAAGAGTTGAACAAGGAAGACACCCTCTCCTCCCACTGTGTATTTTTGTAGTGGTATTTCTATTTAAGGGTTTCATTAAAGCACAGTGTTTCTACACATTACTGGTATTGTTTCTTGTGTTGAATGAGGATCTCAGCAAAGTGGTTGGGGGAGGGTATGAACTGAGAGAAAAGCACCCATATTATTGATATGGAAACAAAGGACCCAAATCAGGCGGGGCTCAGCAGAAGTCACATGAAATATGGAGAAAGAAGTACCTTCTTTTTTGTTTTTTGAAAGACAGGGTTTCTGTGTGTGGTCCTGGCTGTCCTGGAACTTGCTCTGTAGACCAGGCTAGCCTGGAATTCAGAGATTCACCCGCCTGCCCCTGTCCCCCAAGTGCTGAGATTAATATATTGATGCCATCACGCCCGGGAGAAAGGCTCTCTTTGTATCCCTTCTATTGGAGAAGAAGGGACAAAATGTACGATGCCGCTGAGTCCAGAGTGTTCTGGAGGTTGCATCTTTAAGCAACACCCGCGGTATCCTGCCTCAGATTTCCCAGATTGGTGGCGCTCTTCCTTTGGGGAGGACAAACTACCTCGCGGGCCGAGGGCGAATCTGCACGAGGGTCGTGGGCTGAGGTAGCAGGCGCTTCCGGAGCCAGCCTGGCCCGGCCCGGCCCAGCCCGGGGGTCGACAGGACATCCCCTCCCCCAGCACGCTTCTCTGCGTCACGTAACACACAAAGCTTAGTTTAGCACTTGAATTTGGACCGGGGTGTCAGACAGTGTGACTGACAGTCGAGAACTGCGCCAGGAGGGGCCGAGCGCTTCTGTTGCAGCACGGGTGCTGGGGTTGCTCCAGGCCGTCTTTCCAGGCACGCATCAGACTCCTAAGATGGCCGTGACACTTCCGGCCCCTCCCCTGCCGCCCGCCCCGCCCAATGTGAGCCTTGGCCCGGAAGTGGAAGTAGTAGCTGAGGTCAGAGGGCGGTGCTGCTCCTTAGAGACGGCGGGAGCCTCTTCGCCATGGCTGCAGGACCGATCTCCGAACGGAATCAGGGTAATTGGGAGAGAAGAGCCTAAGATGGGCCCAGGGGAGGTGGAGGGCAGATGAGTGCCAGAAGCGTTACCGCCAGGGTGGAGACCAGATTTCCCCGGTGTGAGGCCAACCTGTGGGTGCTGGGCCCGGGGCCTGGGGTCAGGCCGGGGCCTGGGGTCAGGCCGGGGCCTGGGTTCAGGCCGGGGCCTGTGAGGGGTGAGTGATGCTTCCAGATCCAGTGCCCTTCCGCACTCCCACTGCCAAACACATGAGTAAAACCCCACCGGGAAATACAGAGTCAGCAAGGACGTTAATTAGACTTGAGCGGACCTTCTAGAATAGGCAGGCAGAGATCTCAGGGCTTTGGGTAACGATTTTTATTTTTGCTTTCCTTTTGGCTCCTGACCTCGCCCTTACCTTCTGCTTTCTTGCTTTAGATGCCACGGTGTACGTGGGCGGTCTAGATGAGAAAGTAAGCGAGCCATTGCTATGGGAGCTCTTTCTCCAGGCAGGGCCAGTGGTCAACACCCACATGCCAAAGGATAGAGTCACTGGCCAGCACCAAGGTGAGTATGGCAAGAAGTAACTAAACATAGGGTTAAAGGCCCCCGAAGAGTCTCAACACTAGTCACGGCCGTTTTGGACTGAGCAACCTAAAGGCTTCTTTCCTTTAAGCTGCAGTCACAAGTTTGTTTCAGGAGTATTCTCTGAGCTCTAGTTTAAAGTTACTGGAACCGTTCTCAACTGAAGTGAGATTCTTCCATGTTGTGCTTTGTTTGGAGGCTGGTGAGTTAATGTTTCATTTTTAATCTCTTCACCTGAGTAGTCTTTCCTTCAATTCCCCAGGCTATGGCTTTGTTGAATTCTTGAGTGAGGAAGATGCTGACTATGCCATTAAAATTATGAACATGATCAAACTCTATGGGAAGCCAATACGGGTGAACAAGGCATCAGCTCACAACAAAAACCTGGATGTAGGGGCCAACATTTTCATTGGGAACCTGGACCCGGAAATCGATGAGAAACTGCTTTATGATACTTTCAGCGCCTTTGGGGTCATCTTACAAACCCCCAAGATTATGCGGGACCCTGACACAGGCAACTCCAAGGGTTATGCCTTCATTAATTTTGCCTCATTTGATGCTTCGGATGCAGCAATTGAGGCCATGAACGGGCAGTACCTGTGTAACCGCCCTATCACTGTGTCTTACGCCTTCAAGAAGGACTCTAAAGGAGAGCGCCATGGGTCAGCAGCTGAACGACTTCTGGCAGCCCAGAACCCACTATCCCAGGCTGACCGCCCTCACCAGCTGTTTGCCGATGCACCCCCTCCACCCTCTGCCCCCAATCCTGTGGTTTCATCCCTGGGTTCTGGGCTTCCTCCACCAGGTAAAGCCTTTAGTTCAAACTACAACAGTGAGAGCCCTTGGGAGGGAGGGTCAGAAGGCAAAAAACAAAACAAAACAAAAAAAAAAACCCAAAACAACCCCTGCAGGAGCAAGCCCCTCAATCAGCGGGCAGTGAGAATGGAATGAGGAGTGATGGTGGGAGGGATGGAGTTGTTAGGTTCTTTGGGAGACTGGAAGGAAGCTAGAGCTCTGTAAGACAGTCTTCACTGGATGAACTCTTTTCTTGTATAGGCATGCCTCCTCCTGGCTCCTTCCCTCCTCCAGTGCCCCCTCCTGGAGCCCTCCCTCCGGGGATACCCCCAGCCATGCCCCCGCCACCCATGCCGCCTGGGGCCGGAGGACATGGCCCCCCAGCAGCAGGAACTCCAGGAGCTGGGCACCCTGGTCATGGACATTCACATGCTCACCCATTCCCACCGGGTGGGATGCCCCATCCAGGTACGTGCTCTTTGCTGGGATTGTGAGGGTGGCTCTGTCGCTGCCGGTCAGTCCGCTGCTCTTTGTCTTGGGGGGGAAGTAGTCCAAAGTCCCCCTTTCCTTCAGAAAACTACTTTTTTTTTTTTTTTTTTTTTTTTTAACTTTTTCTGCAGAATAGCCTTACTGTCTTTTACTCTCAGCCTCTCCTCCCAGTTGCCAAGTCTAGGCGACATTTCTGCTTCTTTTTTGTTTTGTTTTCGAGACAGGGTTTCTCTAGCTTTGGAGCCTGTCCTGGAACTCGGTCTGTAGACCAGGCAGGCCTTGAACTCAGAGATCTGCCTGCCTCTGCCTCCCCAGTGCTGGGATCAAAGGTGGCGCCACCACTGCCCAGACATTTCTACTTAACCACTACTGTCTATGTGATTAGCTATATATTAGTGTTTGAAATGTTTGTGTTTTTCTGGTTTCTCTGTGTGACTTATCAAACTTAACAACTTGGGTCAGCCCCTTTTTCTGTCTGTGTAGTTTTGCTTGGTTCTCCTTTCTGTGTTTATCTGTTGTGTTAAATGTGCAGACACTGATTCCTTCTGGGTCTCTGGTCCATGGTTCTGGACAGGCTAGACAAGGCCGATGCCCAACTCACGGTTCACTTTGGGTTCTCCTTCCAGCACCCTCTTTCTATAGCCCTGATTTGTAGCAGCTAAGTTCACAACTCTGGGAGTTTGTATATTGTGACATCCAGTTGCAAGTTTAACTGACACATGTTTCTGCAGGTTGCCACAAGCCAGCACCCTACTCTACTGTACATATACTTACTGTGGTAATCTTCTGTCTCTTTGACTCTAATTTTCTCTTTGATGTGCTTTTACTGAGTAATTTTTCTAGGATGTTCCTTAAAATTACTGAAATTGCCATAGCACTCGGTACTCGGGTTTCTCCTGATGGCCTAGTTACTGGTATTATCATGTTTGGTGATTTGCACATGTCAAACCTTCTGCCTGGAACCGTTGATACCCAACCCACTCTCTTGTCCTCTTAAGGAGCCCTTTTTGGTGGTGGTGGTTTCTGCCGCCCTGACTCTGGCATTAAAAGTGCAGTACCGTGGCAGGCTAAACTTTTATTTTTTAATAATTTGTTTTGTATTGTTTGAGGCAGAGTCTCATGTGGCCCTCACTTCATTAGGTAGCTAAAGTTGTTCTACCACTACCCCTGATCCTTCTGCCTCAGCCTTCAATGTGCTGGGAAATGCAGATGTGAGCTGCCAGCCCTGGGGCCTCCTCAGGAATCCCGCCCCCCCCCCCCCCACACACACACACAGGGTTTCTATGCCTAACAGCTTTTGGAGCAGGCATGCCTTGAACTCACGGAGATCCGCCTGTCTCTGCCTCCTGATTGGTGGGATTAAAGGTGTGCACCAGCCTGCTAGGAGCCCTTGTTGGCCTTTTAGAATATGTCTGCCACCTTTCTCACCCTTGTAGAGCAAAAACACTGCTTATTGTATGCTTTGTTGTCAGCATCTCTGTGCTTAAATCAAAGAAGAAAAGTGAGTGCACATTTCATTGTCTTTTTTCTTCGCCTCAAGAAAAAAGGTATTTCTGATGTGCTAAATAAACTTGGAGGTCAATTAGCAGCATGGCATGTTAGCCACTGCTGTCAGTCACCTTCAGACAAATTGATTAAAAAAAACCATAGGAAAATGAAGAGCATGCAGAGTTGATGGGATTTTACTGTTGAAAGGGTACATGTCAACCCTGTCTTAATCTTCTTTCTGTCACTCTTGTCATCTTCTGTTCTCTTTGCCCTGTGTTCCGTCTGTCTCCTTTCTCTTTGTGTTTGTTTTCTTTTTATAGGGATGTCTCAGATGCAGCTGGCCCATCATGGCCCCCATGGCCTAGGACATCCGCATGCTGGGCCCCCAGGCTCTGGAGGGCAGCCACCACCCCGGCCACCTCCTGGAATGCCTCACCCTGGACCTCCTCCAATGGGCATGCCCCCCCGAGGGCCTCCTTTTGGATCTCCCATGGGTGAGTGGTACAGCCCCTTCTCGTCCTTCCATATATTTATGTGTGGGAGAGATAGGAACTCACACCTCCGGTAGCCTCGGTTCCTGCTCCTGTCACCAAGCTGCTGGTTCTGCATGTGTCGTTACAGCACATTTGTCATGGCCCTCTCCCATGCCCTGTCTTGGACTTCTCACCTTTCTTCTGTTCCCCTACTGATCTCAGCATCAACTGCTTCTTACTTTCCCTTTTATTAACTTTTCTTTTTCTTCCTGCAGGTCATCCAGGTCCAATGCCTCCACATGGTATGCGCGGGCCTCCTCCATTGATGCCCCCTCATGGATACACTGGTCCTCCGAGACCCCCTCCCTATGGTTACCAGCGGGGGCCCCTGCCTCCACCCAGACCCACTCCACGGCCCCCAGTTCCACCTCGTGGTCCACTTCGGGGCCCACTTCCTCAGTAAATTGCCATCCTTTGTCTCCCTCTTATATCCTCTCAGTATCTTCATTTCTTGGACCAATCAGAGTTGCTATAGCTTGTCGTGGCTAATGTACTGACCCCTCTCTGCAACTCTGTCCCCATTTCAATGTCATTTTTTCCACAGGGGTTTTTCTTCATTTTTGTTTTAAAATGTTGGTTTGGTACTAATTGTTTTACCAAACAATTATAAAGAAAATAAAATTGTACTTCTTGCTTACTCTTTGGTGAAGTAACTTTTAATAGAAGTCAGGGTATTGTGGTATTCAAGAGGGAGGGTGTTTACATGGTAGGGTTTTTTTCTGAACATGCGGCTACAGTGGCTTCACCAGCAGACATCTGCACTAGAGCAGTCACTTCCTGGAGTAGACCTTACCTTGTGGTTTATAATGGGGACATTAATGAGAAATAAAATATCTGGTGATATGTTAGCAAAAAGTAGCATGCACATAAATATCCATTGTAGTGCTAACTGGAGTTCAGTTGGAAAGTGTCAGTAAGGGGTTGGTAGTATGAACTGGTAAATCCACACACTAGAGCACTATGCAGCTTTGAAATAAGGGGGAACATGGAGAATAGGTCAGTGGTGGAGTACACCCTTGTAAGTTGTCAGGTCCTGGGTTCTGCCCTTGACACCAGAGGGGGAAAGATGTTCTTGTGAGATGTGTAGGTAATAATAAATGGAATTACATGTAATTTCTATTTGTGTATTTACAAAGTATGTGCCCATATATGTGATGTACTGTTACCTATCCAAGGAGTAGCAAGCACACAAGTGTGTGTTTGCTTATATTTAAAAAATAGATCAACCAACCAATAGAAATTATCACTGGGGAAGTAGGGAATATGGAGGGAAGGTTTTGTTCTGTTTTTTGAGATGGTCTTTGTAACCCTGGGGTTGTCCTGAAACTCACTGTGTAGACCAGGCTGGCCACCAACCCACAGAGGCCATCGTGTCTACTGGGATTACAGGTGTGTATGTTCAGCTAAAGCTTCACTTATTGAGTGTACTCTTAACATGCTTTTCATTTGGAGCCATGTAAATATCTTAAATAATGTAAGATAAAATGAGTAATTCACATTTTTTCCACTTGTATAACATTTTCTTAGTTCCTACAAACACTGCCTTCTAGAGGTGAAGACCCAAGGTCAGTGAGTATTGCTGTCAGGTTTGAGATAAGACACAGTTCCTGAAACATTTGGGGAGTGGGATAAAAGATACCTACCTACCTACCATGGTCTGGAAGCTCATGAAGACTTTCTTAGAAAAATAGTTGTGTCTGAATGTAGTCTTCTGGTGAAAGATGGTCTTACTAGCCAGACATGGTGGTGCACACCTTTAATCCCAGCATTCAGGAGGCAGGCAGGTGGATATCTGAGTTCAAAGCCAGCCTGGTCTACATAGTAAGTTCTAGGACAGCCAGGGTTACACAGGGAAACCCTGTCTCAAAAAAGGTGGTCTATGCCACCCCTAACCCAGGCTGGCCTCAAACTGCCTTATCTTCCTGCCTCTGACAGCAGAATGCTGGCCTGAGGGCTCCACAGCTCCTGGCTGAATTTGATCTTGAAAGGTAGAGTTGCTATGCAGGGGGCAGATACTGTACCAAAGCTGTGTGGTACCAAAGCTGGCTGAGGTCAGGGGTGGGGGTGGGTCTCCTGGAAGTATTAGTGCTGTTTAGATCTTTTCACTTGGTGACCATGGAACCTGTCAAAACAACATTGAGGTAAAAGAGAGGACGATTATTCAGCTGTGGCCTTTTGGCTCAGGAATTCCAGCTGCCCTAGTTAATATGTTTATCAGATATCAAGGTGGTAATGTTGACTAGGCAGGTGGAGACAGATCTGGATTGGAGATGTAAATGTGGGAATCACCTACATAGATAAAGTAACAAAGTTGTGGGGTTGCCTGATATGAACAAGGGGAGTAAAGCTGGAAGGGCCCAGGACCGAACCGTTAACGAATCCAGGGAACTGGGGAAGTACATGATTTAAGTCTTCCTTCAGATTTAAAAAGAAGCTTGGTTTCCCTTCTTCATTTGCTCTGTAGTACTGGGAATAGAATCGCCCCCTAAGTTCTACGCCTGGCCCTTTTTGCCTTTTTATTTTGATACAGGGTCTCACTAAGGTGGCCTTTAACTCATACTGTAGCCCAGGCAGGTGTGGGACTTGTGATCCTCTTGCCTCAGCTTCCTGACTAGCTGGGACTGTGGGCTTGTTCTACCACCTTTGTATACTATTTCTTCTGGGAAGCTAATGTGTCAGTGCAGAGTATGCTACTTCCTGTCGGCAAGGTTTGGCTACGACCTAAGATGGGAAATAATGTATTTAAATTAAAAGAGTATTGACCTTAAGTTTCATCAATGAAAGCCTAGTAAAGGGAGGGTTCCTGAGGCCCATGTGGGCAGAGTTGTTCCTTGTACCATCCTGGAAAGAGTACTTCAGCCAGCAGATTTAGAGTACTTCTAGAACATTGGCAAGGCTTCCCCAGAGGTGGGGCAAGAACTGTTGCCAGGTGAGTTTTGGATTCATTGGCACCCTACTGAGGATGGCCAGATGCCATTAAAGATACAAATCCTCTTGTTCAGTAATGTTACTATGCAACTGTATATTGGCACATCATGGTTTGGCTTTAGGGGTAGAATGTACTGGACAAATATTTTGAGTCTAGGTAAGAGGGTTTTTTTGGGAGGGGGTAAACTAGTATGTATTATGACTTTCAGTAAATTGTGAATTTTATTGACCCAAACATTTCCAAAGTCCAGCATTGGGTCCTACAAAACTTAGGTCGGCATTCCTATCATAGAAAATATAACATGTCAAACCACATCTGGGAACTCACTTAACACACAGGCTTCCAGCCTTTGGTATTTAATATATCTCAACATTTTGAATCTACATTTAACCAAGCAGACTCATGCAGTATTACATCTAAAAAAGACTATGTAGCACCTAGTCCAAAACACTCCATTTTCTAGACAAACCTGAGGTTCACAGCTCCAGGGGATTTGGCTAAAAGTCAACAGTGTATCAGACCTGGAAATCTGAACTGGACCTTGGTCAGTGCTTTGTCCAGACAATTCACCTGGAGTAGACTGGTTCAGGGTGTACATCCTCAAACCACCTCTGAGTTCTGGAGCAAAGATGATCACCAAGTGTTAGCTCTTGGATCTGTCCAGATTATCTGACAAGGACATGGGAACCCAAGCCATTTCACTTCCTCTGGAAGAGGGGTGTGGGGTGATTGATGTTTTTTTTTTTTGAGTCACTGGAGTGGATGGAAATGTCCAGCTGGTCAGACTTGCAAACAAACAAATCCCTTCTCAAGCACCAGCTTCCATTACCACCCACCGAATGGAAAAGAAGGGGAGGAGGTCGGCCTTGTAGGTAAACAGTATGACTGGTTTTGATGGAGACAGATGGTAGGGACCCGGGAGTCACCCACTCTGGCAGTTGTGTTCTGAAAAAGCACGTTGTTATCTCTGCTTTCACTTAGGTGAACCTGGGCTCTGTGCTGTGGGCTTGAGAGGATTGTTCTTCATTCCAGGGAGCAGAGTGTAGAAGGGGAGTGAGCAAGACAGCAAGAGCAGCTGGGGCTGGGACTCCTGGGTTCGGTCATCCCGACCGGGTGCTAAAGAAGAGGCTGCTTCATTCATCACCCCCTTTCTGTTTCCCCACTTGCTCCCCTAACCACTATTAGTGTCTTCCTTTCCTTTCTGTCATCTTTTGCTAGGAGGAAGGGGCTGGGAAAGACTGTCATTTCCAGCTGTCATTCTGACAATCCCCTCCAGTCCCTTCGTCATCTTTTTTTTCCTGCATCCCCTACCCATCATCTTTTCGTTTGCCCTCCCCCCCCCCAACAATGGTCTCTCCCGGTGCTCACTGGCGCGGGGGGAGGGGGGGTCGGAGGCGGGGCCGAGCGCGTGCGGGGGGGCAGGTCTGCAGTGCCGCTTCCCCTGATACAGGAGCAGTCGCTGCTGCCGCCTCAGCCCCGCGGCTGGACCCCCTCCCTCACCCGGGGACTCCCTGACCCGGGGAACCCAGCTCAGGTGAGACCCCTCTTCCCTCACCTCCACCCCGCCCAAGGCAGAAGCATCCTTGCCTAGCCTTGCAGCCATTTTATCTCTGATGCTTTGCTTACAAGGAGGGTAACTGTCCCTGCTGTAGGGGTGAGGGTGGTGGTGGTGGTGATATCGGTTTGTGGAATGGGCGATTTTTTCCGTTGCTTTGAGAATATACTTGAATAAATAAACATATATGGGCATATACACATATATGTCTATGTAAACACACACACAGATACATGCATACATATATATGTACATATATATACATACACACACACACATATATATATATATATATATATGAATGAATGAGGATTTTTTTTCTACCTTAGTCTAAGTCCTCATTACACTTTTTGGAGATAAACCTGACGAGGGGGGGTCTTTGGATAAGCTGAGGTTCCCTCAAACTCTAGTCCCCTCCTCACCTTGATGTATGTTGTCGTGTTGTCCCCGTTGCCCCCCCCCCACGGCATCCCATGATAAATATGACCTTGACTGGGGCCAGAGAATGAGTACTGCCTCTCTTGCCTGGACTGGGGTCTGGGGTGGGTTAGGGGAGAGGAGTAGGGTTGGTGAAGGATGGAAGGAAGGAAACATTGGAGATGGGAAGCAACCAGGTGGTGGGGCTGGGGGCAGTTACTGAGGGGGTCAGGGGCAGGGTGCAGAACGATGGTGGGCACCTGTGCAGCAGCAGGACCCGGGTGGGAGCAGCAGTGTAGTCAGTCCTAGGCCTCATGCTTTCTACCTGAGCTGAGGCCAGGGGAGGGTGGGGGTCCTTGCAATCGCAATCCTGGTAGAGGCCGTCTGTGTGGGGAGTGTTCTCTCTGCATCTGCGGCCTGGCCTCTCCTCTCCATGAGCAATCCTCCGTGTGCAGTCTCACTGACAAAACTGGATGCTCCCATCTTCCCAGCCCAGGGGTAGATTGTAGGGGTGAGGCTCAACCTTGTTGGTCCTGTGGAGGGGTAGGAGGGACAGTTACTGAGCTGTGATGTAGGAGCAGTGCTCTGGAATCCCCTACACCCTACCTTCTCTGTCTCTTGTCCTTTTCCATGAGAGCATTTTGATAAATGACTGCTTCTTAATGACCTTGTCACTTCTTAATGACCTGGGATAGGATGGGCTGAAAACCTGGGTGGCCCCCAAATCAAGGGCTTTGATTAGGGGCCTGGTCTGGACCTGAGCAGATGTCCTGAAGGAAGGTTTGTTTATGAGGTCCTTTCCATACGCCCTTTCCACCTTCTGCAGAAAATCTGGACACGCTTCTTCCGGTCAGGTGAAGCCAGTCAGCCTTAAAGGACTTGGTAAATCCCAGTCTGGTCTCCTCTATCTCCACCTCTCCCTGTGCTGTCTCCTTCCTCAGGCTCAGCCACTCTGTGCTGCTTTGCAGGCTAAATATAGCACCACTTCCTCACCAGCTCAAAGAATTTGTCTTCCTCTTTCTGCTGGGCTTGTTGGCCCTGGGGGAGCTGGCTGTTGAGACTCCATGGACTGTTGTGGCTGCAGGAGCCTTTCCTAACCCCATAGTCACCTATGAGGGATAAACAATGTCAACAGGCATAGGGAACAGCTCCTGGAGGCTCCAAATGCTTCCTTCAGGGTTTGAGGGGAGGTGATGGCTGGAAAGAAAGGCAAGGAATAAAAATTGCCTTGCATTGAGAATGGTTGGTCCCTGAACCATGAAGGAAAGGTGACATAGGGGTCACTATTGGACAACAACTGCTCACATCTGTCCTTGTGTGTGCTTTATTTCTGAATGACATAGCATTATTTATTCTTTCCCACTAGCATGCGTGCGTATGCCTATGTGTGTCTGTGTGCGTGAGTGTGCCTGTGCGTGTGTGTGTGTGTGTGTGTGTGTGTGTGTGTGTGTGTGACATTAGTCAAGGCTCTGGCTGGAACAGTGGATTATTTTAGGGGAATGATCTTGCTCAGAATCTAGGCCCGTGTCCTCTGTTGCCATGAAGGAGGTTATCTTATACCTCCCTTTGTGGGATGTCTTTTTTTTTTTTTTAAGGGGGAAGTCCTGGGCCCCCTTCATTCTTCACCAGCTGCCTACTGCAATGCCAATGCGGTATTTGTGAACTCTTTTTCATTGACTCATGAAGAAGCAGAGGGATTAAGGGGATTAGGAGGGAGACCCTGGAGGAATGAGGCACAAATGTAAACCTTAGACAATCGTTAGAAATGTGACCTCAACCAGTCATTTCTGCTTCCACCCCACAGGTGAAAGGGGCCTATATATGACATTATGAAGGAAGGGGATAGCAGCTACTGTCTCTTCTTGGCTATGATCTTCTTCTTGACATTTATATCCTGCCTTTTGGGGTCCAGATGTTGGAATTAGTTTAAAACACAGGGTTCTTGGGAGGATCCTGGGCATCAACGACAAAATATGGACTTCTGCTGACTGCCCCTGCTTCATCCTCACCTTTTCAACAGGGAAGGAAGCAAACTAATATCCATAGACTATTGGTGTGAGGTTAAGTTTCACAACTCTGAGAAATGGATTTTCCCAAGTTAAGTATAAGGACACTGAGGCTCAGGCAAACTGGGGCAACCTGCCTATCTGCAGTTAGCAAGTAGGGGATGGGGACTCCAAATGTCACGTGCTTTGCATCCAACCAGCATTCTCCTTGATAATGTCCCTTTCTTGCTGTTCACCCTGAAGAACATGCTGAGGGATCTTTGGGAGGGACTATAGGGTAAATCACTGTGGTCCTTGCCCCGTGACACTAACTTCTTTTTTTTTTTTTTTTTGGTACCAGGTCCCCTGGTTAGTATCTATGTACTGTCTCACTAAACTCTACGTTCCCCTTTCAGTAAGAGGGAACCAAGGCTTGGATATTCAGTAATGTGTCATACTCATGTAGAGCTCCAGACCCAAGTCTGTCTGACTCTGGAGGCTGAGCTTTACCTAACTGGGCTAAGTGGGAAGAAATCTCTCTTCAGGAGACCTCCAGGGAGCAACCGTGGACACCTCACCTTCAGCTCCATCAGTGGAGAGAGAGAGGGAACCTGGTCAGAGGGCTTGTCTTTCCACACATCACACTCAGGCTGTCTCAATGAGAACCCTTCAGGGACTAGACTAGAGCATGGGTGCTTGTTTCTCCTGGGGTTTCTTTGCCTTGGGTTAGAACTGGATATGGGCAGTGGTTAGGGAAGGGGTGATAGATGGCAGATTTTGGAGCAAATCCTAGATCTACTCTCCAAGGGCAAAGTGAGGGAACTTGTATGTTCAGTGGCCCACAGTTGGCCCGTATAGTCACCTCTCTTTAATGACTGGTGGCCTGAGGTGGAGGTACATAGTCTAGGCCTGTGGCTGGGTTGAGAGCCGTTCCATATTGGCCCTCCTTCACTAGCCTAGTGAACTTCCTTTTTCTTTCTTTCTTTCTTTCTTTTTTAGGTCCCCAGTGGCTCCTAGAAGAGAAGTAGGCAGCCCTCCCTGAAATATCTTGGCTCCTCACTTTAGCCTCTCCAACCTGGCTCCCCCTTCCCATCCTGTCCCCCTGCTTCCCTTCCCCCTCCTCCACTCCCCCTACTGAACTGGGTACAGAACAAAGCTCTTCCCTTCCCTTCCCCTTGGGACCTCACTGGCCAGGCCCTGGTACCTCGTATTCTGAGCCCAGAGATACCGGAACACATTTCATCTGGGGAGAGGGTCTTTTTGACCCCACAAGTCGTTGAGCAAAAGGCTGAAAAAGAAGCATCGAGGGAGTTAGATTAAGTGAGGTGCGCCCAAGCCCCATCATGGAAGAAAGCTTCCGAGACCGGGCAGCGTTCATCCGTGGGGCCAAAGACATTGCCAAGGAGGTCAAGAAGCACGCGGCCAAGAAGGTGGTGAAAGGCTTGGACAGGGTCCAGGATGAGTATTCGCGAAGGTCTTACTCCCGATTCGAGGAAGAAGATGATGATGACTACCCTGCCCCTGCTGATGGCTATTACCGCGGAGAAGGGGCACAGGATGAGGAGGAGGGTGGTGCCTCTAGTGATGCTACCGAGGGCCACGATGAAGACGATGAGATCTACGAGGGGGAATATCAGGGCATTCCCCGGGCAGAATCTGGGGGCAAAGGCGAACGGATGGCAGACGGGGCACCCCTGGCTGGAGTGAGAGGGGGCTTGAGTGATGGGGAGGGTCCTCCTGGGGGTCGGGGGGAGGCACAGCGGCGGAAAGATCGGGAAGAATTGGCTCAGCAGTATGAAACCATCCTCCGGGAGTGTGGCCATGGCCGCTTCCAGTGGACACTCTACTTCGTGCTGGGTCTGGCGCTGATGGCAGATGGTGTAGAGATCTTTGTGGTGGGCTTTGTGCTGCCCAGTGCTGAGAAAGATATGTGCCTGTCTGACTCCAACAAAGGCATGCTAGGTAAGAACCCTGTGAACGCTCTGCTGCTGGGAGCTGCCTGCTCCTCCCCAATAGTTGTGCAAGATGTACACAGAGGGTACTGATCCTACGCACACCATCCCCCCATAGACACCCTCTTCTGGAGGTTGAGTAAATGAAATTGTGTGTGAAAGAGAGGGAGTGTAGCTGGATTGGGGCTTTCACTAGTGTCTGAGTGGGTGGCAGTTTGCCTAACTGCCAGATATGGCCATGGTGGGTTGGGCTGCCAGTGCATTTGCAAAGCCTTCTATCCTGGTGCTGAGTTGCCTTTCCCTGCTGCAGAGCAACAACAACAACAACAACTTTGAAATGCTTTGGCATACATTGGAAGGGTCTGTTTGGAGTGGTGTGGGTAGGGACATCTCAGGCATGGGAGTAGCTAGGGACCAGGAATGTCTTTGATGGTTTTTCCTGACAGGGATCTAGAAGGAGGAATCCCACAGGCTCACTGAGCAATTATAGAGGGCTGGCTTTGCCATGGACAGGTCTCTGTCTTGGGCTTGGTTTGGGCATTGATAAAATGCAAAATTTGGAAATGATTTAAAAAAAATCAATTCCAATTACGGTTATAGGAAAGAGACACACAGAGGAATTTTAGGAGGTAGGAAGTATTGGGTCTAGAAGGATAGAGGAAAAACTTTGTGTTGGAGCCACCTTTCCAAGGAACAGGAGGTCTCCTTTGAGGGCATCAGGACTTCGATGGAGGGGAGAGGAGGCCAGGTGAGCTGTCCCAGCACTCAGGAGGCAGGAGCTGGTGCATCTGTATGTTTGAGGCCCATCTAGTCTACACAGAGTTCCAAGGCAGCCAGGTCTACATGGTGAGACACCATCTAAAACACAACAGTAACAATAAAAACCACCAAACAAATCCAACTGGGATGTAGGGTGGCTGCAGGTGCACGTAGGAACCTAGGCAGGTCTTCAGTGTGCCTTTGGAGGGAGAGAAGAGGAGAGGAAGAAGGGGACTGGGGAGAGGGGAGGGGAGGAAGGGGAGGAAAGTGAGGGAGGGCCTTTCTCAAACATTTGCCTTTGAACCCCTGGTCTGCAGTGATGACTGTCTATCCATCTTTGTTCACACATCATCGTCTCCCACTCTCCCTTATCTCTGAGTAGACTTCGCCTGTAGCTCTTCAGTCATTCTGCTAGAGGAGTTTCAGCCCCTACACTGCTCAGCTGATGGGAGAAGTGAGGCCTGTCTGCTCATGTCCTTCCGGTTTCCTCCTTTCCACAGGCCTCATTGTGTACCTGGGCATGATGGTGGGAGCCTTCCTCTGGGGAGGCCTGGCTGATCGGCTGGGTCGGAGACAGTGTCTGCTCATCTCGCTCTCAGTCAATAGTGTCTTCGCCTTCTTCTCATCTTTCGTCCAGGGTTATGGCACGTTCCTCTTCTGCCGCCTCCTTTCTGGGGTTGGGTGAGTGTCCACATCCTAAACCCTTAAAGACACTGTTGTCATATACACTTGGTACAGTGCCGGGCATACACCTTAAGTATATGTGAATCGAGTGAATGAGCCCCGTCCCACTCCCCACCCCCATCTTCAGGCCAGCTACGTCCGTCCGTTGCCTGTCCAGGGCCTGCCAGGCAGCATGCAGAATACTGTGCCTGGTCTATCCCTGCGTCCTCCAACTTGTCTCTAACTCTGTTTCTGAGGCTGTCTACACAGAGGTCCAGTGGGCCTCAGCCTTGCCCCCAAACAAGGTTTGATGCTTGTTCTATGCTTGTCCTGAGACCAGCTTGCCTGTTTCCTGCCATCCCAAGAATGGTGACTTGGTGGCTGGTGGCAAGTAGAGCTTGTAAGACATAAAATATGAGATGGAGAGGAGGGAGTGAGGATCCAGAGTATGGGGGTAGGGACTGGAACGATGACTGTTCTCTAATGTTAATTTTTGAAACGTACAGGATTGGTGGTTCCATCCCCATTGTCTTCTCCTATTTTTCGGAGTTTCTGGCTCAGGAGAAACGTGGGGAGCACCTGAGCTGGCTCTGTATGTTCTGGATGATTGGTGGAGTGTATGCAGCCGCAATGGCCTGGGCCATCATTCCCCACTATGGTAAGCAGTAGTCTCCCAGACTCTCCGTCCTCCCAGCTCTGCTGTGCTCCCTGTGATGGGAGCCCTCGGCTTCTGGCTTCTCTGCTGATTCTGTGACTGTCTGCCAGGGTGGAGTTTCCAGATGGGCTCAGCTTACCAGTTCCACAGCTGGAGGGTCTTTGTCCTCGTCTGTGCCTTTCCCTCTGTGTTTGCCATCGGGGCTCTGACTACGCAGCCAGAGAGTCCCCGCTTCTTCCTAGAGGTGAATGGATTGATTGCTTCTGCGGCAGGTTGGGGAGGGAATACAAATGCTGGCTGTGGGGTTGGTGAACTCTTATGACTTCTTCCTCATGCACGTGCCCGTGACTCTGGGCAATTTATCTTGCTTCTTTTGTCTTCAAATGTGTCTCCGGAGGGGTTTGGAGAGAGCAAGAACCTGCTCAGCTATGGGTGGCTTAAATTCTGCAGGCTCAAGTTGGGATCCACCCTGTACATCTCCCTTCCAACCACACCTGGCTCTAGCAGATTAAGATGTGGCACCTTCTCTGACCATAGACTCGAGCATCATTTCCCTCATCTTAAGCTTTTCCTTTCTATTTTACTGGGTCTGTGCTGACATCTGATCCCTTGCAAATCCCTCACCCCAACTCTTGCCCAAGTCTGATCATGCCTTGCTGTACCCCAGCTCAGACTGGTGTGTATCCCCATAGATCCGGGTTTCAGGGAGCTGGGAGTCTTTTTGTGTCTTGGGATCCTAGAAGCTGGATTGAAGGGATGGGTCTGCATATTGGATCTGAGAGCCCTGAATTGCATGTCGGGAATTACATTTGTGGTTCTAGAATGGGAAGCATGATGAAGCCTGGATGGTGCTGAAGCAGGTCCATGACACCAACATGCGAGCCAAGGGTCACCCTGAGCGAGTCTTCTCCGTAAGCGGCAGCTGCCCACTCAATCCTACAGCCCCCCTTGGACCCTTTCTGAATGCCCATTTTCAACCCCAGAGCACACTGTAGTTCAATGATATCCCCAGGACATCATGTCATTCCCTGCCTCCCATTTTATTTCTGAGAGAAAGAGATGGTTGGAGTTGTTGGGAAGTAGCATGTGATTGCCCGCCCCTTTTCTTGTGCCCAGGTAACCCACATTAAAACAATTCATCAGGAGGATGAGTTGATTGAGATCCAGTCTGACACAGGGACCTGGTACCAGCGCTGGGGAGTCCGGGCTTTGAGCCTGGGGGGTCAGGTAAAGGGGGATCGAATGGCGGAGAAAGAAAAAGGAGTGGGAGAAGAGGAGGGAGGGCTTGAGCCCGTCTGATGGTGAAGGTGAACTGGGAGAGGGGGGAAAAGCAAACAGATGGAGGTCTATGAGTAGGAGTTACTGTGGCCACCTTTCATCCTCACTGTCCCTTGAAGGTTTGGGGGAATTTCCTCTCCTGCTTCAGTCCAGAATATCGACGCATCACTCTGATGATGATGGGCGTATGGTTCACCATGTCATTCAGGTGAGAGGGCTAAGTGTGTGGACTGAAAAGAGCAATCAGCGTAGACCTGAAAGTCCCCCAAACCACAGTCCCTGGAAGGGGTGTGTGTGGGACGAGGCTGAGGGTATGCACGCAGGTGGACTGCTCACCCCTTCCTCGATGGGGTTCTGGTGTCTTATCTGCCTCCTTTGACTTTGACCCTCCAGCTACTACGGCTTGACTGTCTGGTTCCCTGACATGATCCGCCACCTCCAGGCTGTGGACTATGCCGCCAGAACCAAAGTGTTTCCGGGGGAGCGCGTAGAGCATGTGACATTTAACTTCACACTGGAGAATCAGATCCACCGAGGGGGGCAGTACTTCAATGACAAGTATGTGGGGACTTCTCCACACCACTCTTCCCTGTTCCTTCTACTTCCTGTCACTTTTGATGAGTCTGAGACCAAGACCAGGCGGTTTGGGGCAAAGCCTGTGTGTTGATCTCCACTTTAGGGGGGTAAGTCAGTGAAGGAGTGAGGCTGAGGGGGCATGTCTTGTCATCCTGGTCCTGCAGGTTCATCGGGCTCCGTCTGAAGTCAGTGTCCTTTGAGGATTCGCTGTTTGAGGAGTGTTACTTCGAAGATGTCACATCCAGCAACACATTCTTCCGTAACTGCACATTCATCAACACGGTGTTCTATAATACTGGTAAGGTGGCCAGTGGGTGTCAACGGCCAGGACCTTGATGAAGGGAAGAGGCTTCCTCATTCCCTAGCTTACAGTTCTCAAGCTGAGAGTCCCCTGGAGCCTTGGGGTTGCTTACTGGCTACTATCAGTGATTGGGGACATATAATGAACACTGGGCATTTTGATCCGAGAAAATGCCACATTTCTTTACCTTTAGCTGTAATTGTAAGAATTCAGTGAGTTAATGTTAATGTAATTTTGAAGAGCGTAAACTGCGTTATTGGGGAAAAGGAAGACAATAAAAAGGAACATTTAATAAGGAAAAGGCTGGGAATCATGGCATCCATCTACTTCTTAGCTCAGCCTAATAGCACAGACCTGTAATCCACCTTTTCAGAAGGCTGAGGCAGGAGGATTGAAAGTTGCTGGGCTTCAGAGAGAGTTTAAGGCCAGCCTTTGCAACTTTGTAAAATCCTGTCTCAAAATGAAAGGCATTGCAAGGGCTGAGAGTGTTGTCCAGTGGTGGGGCCCAGCTCACCGTGCTCTCTAGGTTCAGTCCCTAACTAAAACCAAACCAAACAAAACAAACAAAAACCCTGAGCTGAGTGTGCTGGAGCCGGCAGGAGGATCAGGAGTTCAAGTTCACTAAATAACAAGTTTGAGACCAGGCTAGGTTATATGAGACCCTGTTTTTAAAAAAAAAGAAAGAAAGAAAGAAGGAAAAATCTTTAAGGAAAATGGCTCAGCAGTTAAGAGCACTTACTCTTTTGTAGAAGAGCCAAGTTTGGTTCCCAGAACCCACATCAGGCAGCTCATGCCTGCCCGTAACTCTTGTTCTAGAGGCTCTAACATTGTCTTCTGGCCTCTGAGAGTTCATGTTGCGCACACACACCTGAGATAAATCTTTTTAAAAATATGTAAGAAAGAACTCTGCATCTACTTTTAAACAACAGTCTTGGCTAAAAGGCTGAGTTCTGTGGGGTAGCACCCTCCTCAAAATGGAGCACTGTGCAAGTTTTTCCTTCCTTGCATAGAAAAAGAGAGAGGGCAGGGCTTTAAAATTTATGTTTAATGTTTTCTTGAGAAGCAGTTCCTAGGTCAGCAGCAGGGCTCCTGTTTATAGCCAGCTTGGGTGGACAAAAAGGATGATCAAGAAGCAAAGACTAGTAAAGCCTCAGACACGCCATGCTTCTAAAGGTCTGCTGAAGAGATTGCTAGTTCCCATGGTGATCGTATGTGATGCTTTGCAATGAGTGCCAGGGATGATGCTGAGAGCTCCTGACTGTTAACTTCCTCAAGTGCAGCAGATCCCTAAGCCATAATTCCGTCTCAATGCCTGCTCTGTGTCTTGACCTCCTAGATCTGTTTGAGTACAAGTTTGTGAACAGCCGTCTGGTGAACAGTACGTTTCTACACAATAAGGAAGGCTGCCCATTAGATGTGACAGGGACTGGGGAAGGTGCCTACATGGTGTACTTTGTCAGCTTCTTGGGGACATTGGCTGTGCTTCCTGGTAATATCGTGTCCGCCCTGCTCATGGACAAGATCGGCAGGCTCAGAATGCTTGGTAAGGGCGTGAGGGCTGGGTGCTGGCTGGTCAGTATGGAGGCAGCCAGGGCTGGGGCAGGCTGTCAGTACACAGACTTCTCACCTCTTGCCATGGAAGGGATTGGCCAGAGAGTTTCTCCCTGTCGTGTTTTGTTTAGGGGTGCTGCAAAATGGGGGTGGGCATGGCATAGAAGTTACTCTAGGGGGTTAAAGGCAAGTAGGGCACAGGTTATAGGTTGGAAATTTGCTCCACCACTTACCTTGGGCAGGCTATTCCCTGGGAGCTTGCACCTGCAACATAGGAAATGATAGGTACATCTGAGTCATCAAATTACTTGTCTCAGAATTGGTGTTGAATAAATGGCTGTCACTGTTGTGATAGTAACAAACACGGGGGTTGAGGACTACCTTGGGACACAGTTACCCGGGAGGTTGTCGCAAAGCTAGCTAGCTGGTGGCTGGGCCATGGCTGGGTATCATTGCTCTCCTTTCTGGTTCCAGCTGGTTCCAGTGTCATGTCCTGCGTTTCCTGCTTCTTCCTGTCTTTTGGGAACAGCGAGTCTGCCATGATCGCTCTGCTCTGCCTTTTTGGGGGGGTCAGCATTGCATCCTGGAACGCACTGGACGTGCTGACGGTTGAGCTCTACCCTTCGGACAAGAGGTAGTGTGGTGGGGAAGGAGGAGGTTTAGGAGCTCCAGGCCAGGGGAGAAGTGTGGTGAAGTGGAGGGAGGGCCCGTGGGAGTAATGGTGTTGGGGATAGGACACACATCCCTGCTGAGCTTTTGTGTTCACTCCTAACTACTAACCTCTTGCTTCTGTCTCCTTTCTCTCCCGTCTATTCCCTCCTCCTCCCCTCATTTCTCCACCCCCCTCCCCTCTCCTGTGCACTGCTTGCCATCTTTCCCTACTTCACTTTTCCACCCATCCATCTCCCTTCTTCTGGGCCCTGACCACCACGTGTCCCGGCCGGGCCCCTCCTGAGCAGGACCACGGCCTTTGGCTTCCTGAATGCCCTGTGTAAGCTGGCGGCAGTGCTGGGAATCAGCATCTTCACATCCTTTGTGGGCATCACCAAGGCTGCTCCCATCCTCTTTGCCTCAGCTGCCCTTGCCCTCGGTAGCTCTCTGGCCCTGAAGCTGCCTGAGACCCGGGGGCAGGTGCTGCAGTGAGGAGGGGGTCTCGGGGCTTTAGGGATGGGTGGCAGGCACACTGTGAGACCAATAATTCCTTTGATCCCTTCCCTGCCCTGCCGTCCTGGCTCTCACTCCCCTGTGTTTGGTGTCTTAGTTGTGTGTGCCTGTATGCATGTGTGTGACCCCGATGGGCAGGGACTATAGGGATGGTCTCTTCATCCCACTTGTGGGACGAGGCACTCCCTACCTGCTGCCACCCTCAACTTTGCACAGGGGAAGGTTGAGATGCATCCTTCTCTCCCCCAGTGTTATTGGGGGCCCTTGTTTCCCTGCTCCAGGGTTCCAGAACTTCTGCCTTCCCTTCATTCCCTCTGCCTAGGCCCTGATGAACCACAGGTATGGAGTTATATTGGGGGCTGAGGCTTGGACCAAAAGAACTTACTGAGTGGAAAGGGCCTTGGGTGTCCTCTAACCTCCCAAGGATGCTGGGGAGTAGCAATAAACCTCAGCCCTCTGGCCTCCATCTTGACCTCAATGCAGGCTACAAATGTGAAGCCTGGATTTTGTGGAATTAGTTTTCTGATTCTTATTTATATAAGTTCTGAGGCAGCTTAGCAGGAGTGTGTGTGTGTGTGTGTGTGTGTGTGTGTGTGTGTGTGTGCGCGTGCGTGCATGTATGCCGTGGGGTAGGGGTACCACTGTACTGTTCAAATATAAGCCAAGGGTAGTAGTTTCAGCGAACACACACACAACACTGTTTTTCTGTATTACCTCCCAGAATCTTCCGTGTTGGAGCGGGAGGGAGAAGCACTAGCCAGGCTGGGATGAGAATCCTGCAATCTAGGGAGTCCTGAGGGCACCTGACAAGGCCTCACTCTCCTTCCTCCTCTAGAGAGGTTCCACCCACTAGCCACAGCCCTCCCACCTGACCTGTCCTCACAGGCAGGGGACCAGGGGAAAGAAAGGGAAAATAACCAGGCTTAAGGTCAAACCAGCAGATCCAAAGCACAAGGAGTTGGGGCAGGGGCAGGAAGCAGGGGCCCTCCCCTCACCCCTTCTCAGAGAGTGAGGTCCTTAATGCAGGGACCAGAAGCCTCAGTTTCCCCATCGCACCCTCCTCTAGGTCAGCCTCTGTAGGTACAACTGCCCCCTCCTACCCTACTGTGTGTGACTGCTTTTCTTTGGTACTTTCTACTCACTCCCTCTGTAGCTGTGATGTGTTGTAGTTTTTAGCTGTTTGTAAATGTTAAAAAAAAAAAAAAAGTTAAAAGGAAGTTAAAATAACCACAAAAAAGAAAATCCAGACTCACCCTCCTCCTGCTCCGTCCGGTGCCCTCCACCCTGAGGCCGGTCCCTGATTTTGTAACTGAACCAGGTGGAGGCTGTCCTCAAAGGACCACCTTCTTCCTCCAGTGCCCAGTGTAGAGTGTGTGCCCCTTCTCACCACTCCCTTGCTGGACGTAGCCCTCTCTCTCCCTTACACCCCTAGGGGAGACACAGCCACTTCCTTGTCTCCTGAGGAACCCTAAACCTGATTCATTGATGTGAAAAATGAAATGAAAATTACTGCAGAAAAATAAAGGGTACAAAACCTTAAAATTCGAAGTGGCTCTATCAGCTTCTTGGCGTCTTCACTCACATTTAACTCCGCCCTGACAGTCTGAGGAAGATAAAATGGTGTTGGAGAAACAATTCCTTCTCCAAAACCAAAATAAGCAAACCCTCTATTATTATTCTTGGTTTGTGGAATGAGCTACCTCAAATCTACCTTTTGTGTGTTTAAAAAAAACATTTATTTGCCAGGTGTTGGTGGCATACACCTTCAATCCCAGCATTCTCGAGGCAGAGGTAGGCAGATCTCTGTGAGTTTGAGGCCAGCCTGGCCAACAGAGCGAGTTCCAGGACAGGCTCCAAAGCAATACAGAAAAATCCTATCTCTAGACAAAAAAAAAAAAAAAAAAAAAAAAAAAAAACAACAAAATACCCCCCCAAACAACCATTTATTTATGGGGGCTGGAAAGTTGGCTCTCTGGGTCCATTGTTACCCTTGCAAAAAGCAACGTAAATGTGTTTTATGTGTGCGCATTTTGCTTACACATGTGCCTGGTACCCACTAAGACAGAACTGGGCACTAGATCCTCTGCTACTGGAGTTATAGTTGGTTGTGAGTCACCATGTGGGTGCCGAGAACCAAACCTGGATCCTTGGAAGAGCAGAAAGTGCTGAGTCATCTCTCTAGCCCCCAATTTTAAATGTTGCCTTGGGAATTTCTGCCCACAGCTTGCCCGACTGCCCTTTACTCTAGCCCATTGCTGCTTTAATCAAGCCACATTACATTTTTTTTCTCTTCCTTTTTTTGAGACATCTTACCATTTAACCCTGACTGGCCTTGAATTCAATGAGATCTGCTTGCTTGTGCTCTTCATGCTGGGATTAAAGGCATGAGCCTGAAACCTTAATAACTTTCTACTGCCCAAATAGGTCCAATCTAGGAACAATGTATCGTGAGATATGGTCAAGATTATGCTAGTCAAGTGCTCTGCCATTGGCACATCCTCTGCCCAAGCTATGGTCAGCAACACCTTTCTCTGATAACCTCCACATAAAGGACATTGGAGAGCTGCTTCAGAGTCACCTGAGCATCCCTTGAAAAGCTTTGTTTGTTTCCGTCCTTTTCCTGCTTCCTTTCTGGCTTAATTTTGGTATACCTGTAAAACCCAAATAGTTCACTTCCTCAAGAATCCCTTTTCTAGTCTGCACGTAAAAGGCCTGTATGGGCCTAACAGCTGCATAAAGCTGACGACCTCAGTTCCTAGAACTCTATGATGGTGGGAGGAAGGACTCCCAAGAGTTGTCCTCTGACCTTTATATGATCACCGTGGTGTCACGTACTCTCCATCACATACACAGGCAAGGCAACACCAATTTAACAAGTATTGAGAACATGGCTTTGAACCTCACGAGGCAGCGTCTCTTTTATTTTCATGGTCCTTTCTGATTCATCAGGACCCGGCAGCCATTCTTAACTAGCCCAAGCAAGGGCAGTTGTGAGTAGCTACTCCCTCCCTGGGCTACCTTAGCTTTCAGGGGCCAAGAGCTTCTTTGCCTCTGCATGGTGTATGTAAGCAGAAAGGGTAGGGATCCTGGTCCATACAAATCAAGGCGTGAGGTAGTAGTGATCTAGAGGTTTATTCTCATTCGCCCATTTTGATCGTTGTTCTCCCAGTCTGGGTATTAGGAAGTCCCTCGAGTTTTCTTGCTTCCACCTAGGCAGGGGGGACTGGTGTCCAGCTGTGGGTTCTCCCTCCACTGGGCGGGGGTCTTCGCCTGGATGGCCAGCGCGTGTACCGGCCCAGCCAGCTCCTCTGACAGCGCCGCGTGAACCAACCGGTGCCGTTGCAGAGGGCTCATCCCCTCGAACCGAGAGCTCACTACCGCCACACGGAAATGCGTCTCGCTGCCTGCTGGGACGGCGTGGCCGCCGCTCTCGTTGCGCAGCTCCAGTACTTCGGGGCTCAGGGCTTGCTCCAACTTGGCGCGGATAGCGGCCTCCACTGGCCCGCCAGCCGCCGATCCCGCGCCGTCCTGCGACACACACGCGCGCGTGGCCATGGAGACCATGCACCGGGCCAACTGCGCCCTCAGCATCCGCTGTGGAGAGACCAAGGTCACGGGCTGAGAGCTGGGTCCACACACCCTCCCCACGCACCCCAGACAGGAACACCCCAGAACCGCCTATGCACGGCGTGGCGGTTGTTCGAACGGCCGCAGCGCTGGGCACTAAGGGCGCTGGGAAGGCATGGCCGGGAGCTGTAAAAATGGAGGGTGTGCAACTTCGTCCTTTTGACTGAGTCAGAGCCTTAACGTCCCCTCCGAACCCTAGGGTGATACCTCTGGGCTAGCTGCGCGGCCTGTGTTACCTCCGCTTTAGGAGGCGTCGGGAAGCTCGCTAAGAAATGCAGTCCTGGTACGTCTGGCAGGCGTTGCGTAGTACCCAGAGGTTTCATGGGAAATGTAGTCCCTGCTCCTTCCAACCGGCGAAGTCCTGCGAAGTCAGGAATTAAAGCAACGCAATGTAAACACAAGGATAAAACAATTTCCTCCAAATTTGGCATTGTTGCTGCGGATTTGTTGTTTCTGGATTTTGTAACTCAAATAGCTTTCATTCCTTTATAATGAAAAACAAGGACTCATGTAGCACAGGCTGGCCTCTACCTCCTGCCTCTACCTCTTACGTGCTGGGTGGGATTACTGTCCAGTGTCACTGATAGAGTGCCTCCAAAGTAAAAAAGGGATTCCTATGCGACTACAGTAACTCAGAAGGGGATGTCTGCTGGGACAGCCTCGTTCCCGAGGTAATCTGTCTTGCTTGAAGCAGATAATCCCAGGATGGAAATGAAGACCCTCACATAGCTCTGTAAAGCTGCATCAACTTCCTCTTTCTCAAACCTCTCACTTACCCGACAGAGGGTCCCAAGCAGCTTTTTTTCCTCTCGCAGACACCTTCATTCCTCAGAGAGAAAGGCTGTCCCTCTCTGTGTGCACTAATAAACAGGCTCACCTGTTGAGGTCAGACTTGGGTCTCTTTCTGCTTTCTGTTTCTTCATTTTATACTCCTAAATCTAATAGTCACACCTCTGGATCCCAATTACTCTACCATACAGACAATAAATTGAAGGCTATTCAATTTCTTGTGTGCCCAACCAGTGCTGGAGGCTGGAGAATGAACAAAGGCCCTGCTGTCAGAGTTTACAGAGCATTGAAGAAATAGAGAGAGGGACTCTGTGACATGGTATGCCAAGCGTATGATGAGACTAAACACAGTTTATTGCAAGCATATTACTCAGACTTGGGAAACTACACTTGTCTTAGGGTTTCTGTTGCTGTGAAAAGACAACATGACCACAGGGAAAATATTTCATTGGAGTGGCTTACAGTTCAAAGGGTTAGTCCACTATTGTCATGGTGGGATATGGTGGTGTGCAGGCAGACATGGTGCTGGAGAAGGAGCTGACAGTTCTACATCTTCATTTGTAGGCAACAGGAAGTGAACCGAGTGTCACAATGAGCATATGCTGAGCATAGGAAACCTCAGAGCCCACCCCCACACTTCCTCCAACAAGGCCACACCTAATAGGGCCACTCCATAAGAGACTATGGGAGCCAGTACATTCAAATACCACACTTCACTCCCTGGCTTCCACAAACTTGCAACAATATCATAATGCAAAAACGCATTTAGTCCAAGTTCAAAAGTCCCCACAATCTGTAACAGTCTCAATAATGTTTAAAAGTTCAAAGTTCCAAATCCCTTCCGAGATTCATGCCATCTCTGAAATGTAATGCCCTGTAAAATCAAAATGAAAAAACAGATCACATACTTCCAATACAGAATGGCACAGGATATACATTACTGTTCCAAAACGTAGGGAAGGATGTGTAGTGAGGAAATACTGGATCAAAGCAAGATCAAAAACCAGCGGGGCAAACTCCAAACTTTGCATCTCCGCGTCTGATGTCAAAGCGCTCTTCAGAACTCCAACTCTGTTCAGCTTTGTTGGCGGGTTCCACTCCCTGTGAACACTCTGGCGTCTCTAATATCATGGGGTCTCTAAGGTAATCCAGGCTTCTCCTTCACAGTTTCACACAATGGCTTGTCTACTAGGCCTCTATTTGAGAGGACAGAATAAAACTACATTTTGGGGAAAAGCCTTTTTGAGGAAATTCCTGCGTGGCCCAAGACTGACTCCGCCCCAGGCCAAAGAGCCATGATCAGTTCTGAGAAAGTCCACAAACTGCCTGCCCCAGTCCTCTATGTCGGTGGTCAGACAATGAAGGACTAACGTTTGTAAACAACATCTGCCATCCTCGGATTGTCCTTGTCGGCATCCGTTAGTAACAGTTTTAGACCGCAGTCAATAGATTTAAAGGTCACAGACTCTTGCCCAACCCTGACACGTGAACACATGTCCCACCCTGCTTGCAGTTTTTCCCTTTAAAATCCCCTTACCCTAAGAGTTCAGGACTTCGTCCTCACCATTGGAGAGCTGGTTGATTGCCCAAGATCAAGCTTGTAATCAATAAACCTATGGGTTTGCATCGGTTACTGGCTCTGTGCTGGCCTTGATCAGGGGTCTCTTAACACGGGCACAATATGCGCAGGGACACCCCTGACACATGCCTAGCCTCTGCTGCTTTACTCCATAACTCCTTTCTGCTATCCTTGACTCTAAGTCCAGAATCACCTGTCCAAAGCTGCCAAGTTCTGCTGCTTGCTGGGGCTGGAACGTGGCCCCCTTACTCAAGTACATCTTCACCAGCTTATGTTTTCCAAGGTTTCCTTCACTGCCTGAGCTTGGCTGTACTGAACATGGATGGAACTGTAGACCAGGCTGGCCTCAAACTCAGAGGTCTACTTGCTTCTGCCTCAGGAGTGTTATGATTAAAGTGGTGTGCACCACCACTAAGATTTCCTTTAATTTCTTTTCACAAGTTGGAAATTTAGTTGGATGGGACCTTGCCCTGAGGTTACCATTCCCTTTGTTCTATTTCTTAATCTGTTTATCTCCTTGAACACAGGACTCAGCTCCTTTCCACTTCCTGGTGCTCCTTTTCTCCTCAAATTGTATTTTCCCCTGCTTAGCTTGCTCTTTTTCATTATAAATCTTTATAAGCATGAACACTAGTAACCATGTGACAAGAGTCTATACTAGGCTGTTTTGAGATTTCCTCTGCCAAAAGAATTAATCCATAACTCTTCACTTTATCCTCAGGCAGACTCTTTGGACAAGGGCAAAAAGCAGTCACTTTCTTCACTAAAATATCACAAGAATGATCTCTAGGCAACATGCTGAAATTCTCCTCTGAAACCTCTTGAGTGAGCCCCCCATGGTTCAAATCACTCTGGACATCATTGTCTTCCATGGTGGTACTAGTATGGCCATTAAGCAATACTTAAAGTGTTCAACTGCTTTTTAAATCCACAGTTCTCCACAGTTCAAAAGTCCAAGTGCAGGCAGACATGGTGCTGGAGAAGGAGCTGAGGAGTTCTATGCCTTGATCTGAAGGCAACAGATCCAAAGGAACTGAGACACACAGTGTAGTTTGAGCACAAGGGACCTCAAAGCCCATCCCCACAATGATACACTTCCTCCAACAAGGCCGCACCTACTCCAACAAAGCCCCACTCCCTATGAGCTTATAGGGGCCAATTACATTCAAACTATCACACTTTTCAAGAGATTTCTAGAGAGCAGTCCAAAAGAAACAGCAAGACTACTACTTTCTTATTTTATTTGGTCAGGATGTGGTAGCTGAATGAAATGAGACATGAACTCTCCAAGGTATGGCTGAGGAGGAGGTGTTATTATTATTATTATTATTATTATTATTATTATTATTATTATTATAGATATGAGGGAGAGTACAGTCAGAGGCAATTGGAAGAGTCTAGATCAGGAAGAAAAATTAGCAGCCTGAACCAGGCCATGAGAAGAGAGGGAGGGGGCAAGAGTATAAGATGAGAAGAGCTGTGTGTGTGTGTGTGTGTGTGTGAGAGAGAGAGAGAGAGAGAGAGAGAGAGAGAAAGAAAGAGAGAGAGAGAGAGAGAACAAAGAGAGTCCATGGCTGAAATGGCAGGGTTATATAGGAATCAGGGGATACTGGAGGGTGGGAAGAAAAGCCCCTGGGCTAGAGAGGTTTAGGGCAGGAGCTGAGTAAGAGGAGCTGAGGGGAGCCATAGGTACTGGGTGAGTCTAGTGGCCATTGTGCACTTTGGTATGCTAACAGACACCTCAGTTAGCTATTGTTATCTTTGGGATCTGACAGTAGCCTTTTATAGGCAGTGGGATGGTCAGCGGCTGCAACCTCTAGCATCCTGAGCCGTTTCTGTCAGGGACATCTATTCAGTTCTTGACTTTGTTGCAGAAAAGAATTTCAGGACAGTCAGTATAACACAGAAGTGGATTTTATTTTACTTATTTTGTTTTTATTACTATTTGCTTTTCTGAGAGTTTTATTCTCAACATAGCCCTGGTTGTCTGGAACTCATTATGTAGGTCAGGCTGGCCTCAAACTCACAGAGATCCACCCACCTATGCCCCCCAAGTGCTGGAGTTAAAGTCATATACCTGTTGCACAAATTCTCATAGGTCTTAATAATAAAAACCCAGAGTCAGATATTAGGGGGAAAGCTGAAGATCAGAAAAACAAAGCAGCCAGCCACTAGCTCTTGCTTCTACTTCAGACCAGATGGATGCGCCTGTCTTCACAAATCCTTGGACTGACTGCTTAGATTGCTGAGACTGCACTGAGCTCCTGTCAGGGTGGCCTTGAACTAACAGAGATCTGTCTGCCTCTGCCTCCTGAGTGCTGGGATTAAAGGTATGTGCCATCACTACCTGGCCTCTCTGGCTAACTAGTGTGGCTGCTGGAGTTAAAGGTGTGTGTCACCAGTGCCTGGCCTCTACAGCTAATTAGTGTGGCTAGTTTTACTCTATGATTTTCAGGCAAGTTTTATTTGTTAGATCATAAACAAAATATCACCACACTGCTAGAAGTGGAGTTTATTAAGCATGGAGGTTAACTGGGGTACTGAGGAAAAGGCTAGTAAACACAAGTGTGGGTTGTGAGCTACTCAAGGGGATTGGGTGAATCTTTACATTAGTATTTATATGATTTGGTGGCTTCTGAAGATACGTCCCTAAGGGTTGTAGGGCTTTAAATGTGATCACAGGTCATTTCTGTTTAGGTGGAAGCTGTGCCTCAGCATCCCCCCCAAAAAAACCCATCCCTCAGAAATCCCACCAAGGAGCAGTCCATCCCCCTGAGATGCTCAAGACCCAAGCCCTGACTTGCCATGTGATTTCTCTCCTGCCTTTCCA